TTTTCACTGAAAGTGAAAAATTCGAAATTTTAGAAAAGGTATCAGGATAACATGACCATCGAGGAGTTATTCACTGAAATTTTCACTGAAAGTGAAAAATTCGAAATTTTTGGAAAAGTATCAGGGGAACATGAACATCGAGGAGCTATTCAGTTTTTAAACAATATTTCGATTGATTAGCCATTTACAAAAGAAAAAATAGGAATTATTTAAACAAAAAAAATGAATATTGGCGGGATCGAACCCGAGCCTTCGGCGTGCTAGCCGAGCACGTTACCGTTAGGACAACGCGCTAATTTAATAATATAATTTCATTAGTAGTATATATTTTGAAAAACTATGTTTTTCAAAAACTCCGAATTTTTCAATTTCACTGGATATCTTTTCGATTTTCAATTATTCAGTTTTTAAACAATATTTCCATTGATTAGACATTTACAAAAGAAAAAATTGGAATTATTTTGAAAAAAAAAAGAATGCCGGCGGGATCGATTTTAATATATTTTTTATTAATTTCCTTCGAACATCGTTTAATAATACAAATCTAATTCGAATACTTGCCGACTTGTTTCATTATAATTCACACCCTTTTTCTTTGGCATTAATCTTCAATAAAATGTGAAAATCACAAAATCGTCGTCGAGCGCAGAATATAATTTCCGATTTAGTCTCAAATATGGGTTATTATATCGGTTCCGGTAAAAAATTAAGCTCAATAAAATGGAGCTAATGTAGCATTTGAATGGCGTGAAGTTTGAAATTTCTTTCATTCGATGGGAAGAGATTCATGGATATATGTACATGGTCCTCCCTCAGCGAAATCTTTGACTGTGTGTCCCTCTCCATGAAGCACCCATTTCGTCGTGAGAAGTCCATCGACACCAACAGGGCCCCTTGCATGAATTCTAGTTGTCGAAATACCGACCTCAGCACCGAGTCCGAATCGATACCCATCGGCAAATCTGGAGCTGGCATTATGAAAGACACAGGCACTATCCACTTCCCTTTGAAAATGCCCAGCCGCTTCCCAATCTTCTGTTACGATAACATCAGTATGTGAGCTTCCATATTTATGAATATGATTGATCGCCTCTTCCAAATTTGGCACCACTTCAATAGTACACTCCAGGGCCCCATACTCAGTCCTCATGCTCTTGGCTGGAGGCGGCCCAAACGTCAACTTCTCTCGTAATTTTATACCCGAATTTATTTTCACCTGTTGAGCACACACCATTTAAACACCACTTCAAGAACTTAAAAAAGATATTATAACTAAAACATTATTACTCACTCCTTCCTTTTGCAGCATATTGCAGACATCAGTGAAGAAGCTTCCCTGGAGAAGGCTCTCATGAATCAAAAGCGTTTCCATGGCATTGCAGGCTGCCGGATAATCACACTTGGAGTCCCTAACGATGTCCACGGCTTTCTTAAGATCCGCATCCTTGTCTACATAGACATGACAAATTCCTTCGGAATGTCCCAACACCGGGATATGCTTTGACTGCTCTTGAATGGATCTAACAAGCGTCGAGCTTCCCCGAGGAATGATTAAATCGATATGTTTCTCCATAGATAGTAGATCTCCTATCTCTTCTCGTGTGGAAACCAATGAAATTGCGTGCGATGCGCCAACGGACTGGAGGGATTCTTTCACCAGTTCCATTAGAAGTCGATTACTGTGCATCGCTTCTTTTCCACCTTTTAATAACAAACCATTAGCACTAGCCATGGCTAATGCAGCTACCTGGGGCAAACTATCTGGGCGTGATTCAAAAATGACAAGCAGAACTCCAATGGGGACTGTTATTTGTTTCAGTTCGAGACCTTCGGATATTTTAGTTCTTCTTAAAACTCTTCCCACATTCTTCAGAGAACTAGCAGCAATCTGGTGGAGTCCAGCACTGAGAGATTCGAGTTTCGACGGGGTGAGAGCGAGTCGGCTTAGCAGGGGCTTCTCAAGTCCTAATTTTTCAGCTTCCTCAAGGTCTTTGGAATTAGCGGCTAATATCTCTGACTGTCTCGATTGAAGTAGATCTGCCAGATTATCGATAGCTCGGGCTCGATCTTCTGGTGTCAGTGACTGAAGAATTCTGCTACCTATTCTAGCATTTTCAGCAGCAACCTCAACGGGCTGAGATGAGCTCGATGACTCTGTGAAGAGAGTACCAATTTTTCTACCTGCCATTATATTTTTTATCGCCTGTTCCTGGGATCCGTTGCAAATAATCACTGATACTGCACGATCTAAGGCCCACAGGGCAGCGTTCACCTTGGAATCCATACCTCCTGTACCTACTTTTGATTTTTGACCAAATTTTATTGTTCCTCGGTGGTCAGAGGTGAATGTATGGAGCATCTTTGCACCGTCGTGCCAAGGGGGTAAATTGTAAATTCCATCAACATCACTCATGAGGATCAAGAGGTCAGCCTGGACCTCTGCTGCTAGCATTGCCGCTAAGGAATCATTGTCGTTTATTGAAATACCCCGACGATCACTTCTGTCTTTCATTTCTTCATCTGCCAGGAGCGGCGGCGAGACGGCGTCATTTGTGTTTATGATTGGGACTATGTTGAGGCTTATGAGCTCGCTTAATGTGCTGAAGAGATTTTTTCGGGTCTCTTCGTTGTAAAAATCAGGTTTTGTCACTAGGACTTGAGCGATCTTTACACCGTACTGGGCGAACATGGCATCGTACAGGGACATGAGACCTGATTGACCCACTGCAGCTGCTGCGCGAGGTTCCAACAGGGTTCCTCAGATAAATGAATCATTTGGTCATTAGGATATAATTGTAATGAAGCGGTGAGAATGGAAATGACCATTTATTTTTTATAGTTCGTATTGTAATTCGGAATAATTAGATAATTTTCAACACTCACCTACTTGTTCTCGCGTGTGATCGGTGACGCTCAGGGTCTCCCTCATTGACATCGACATTAGCAGTTCTTGAGTAAGTTTTTGCTTTCCAAATGCAACTGCACCACTGCTCACCATTATGCACTCACGACCCTCAATCTGTCTTTCAGCAACTTGTTCAACAATCGATGCCAAACGTCCTAAAGCAATTCCTTGTCCATCTTCACGGGTGATAACTGCTGAGCCAAGTTTCACCACTAAACGTCGTGCATATTTCAACTGACTGCGCTCAGTAAATTGTGCACGACGCGGTTTATCCGCGGTTTGCACTTCGCGGCGTAAATCCAGTCTGTAGCCCTGAAATTTTTATGTTAATGAACCATGAAACACTTCGTGCGAAATACTATTCTTTCATCAGTATCAATTTAATTTCATTTCACACTTCCAGATTTTTTCAAAAATTCACCAGACTACGGAAAACGGAAAAGATATTATTATATATCTAGAATTATTATTTTAAACAAAAAATATAAAAATTTGTGAGTCATTTAATAATTATGAAATCGAGAAACGGTATTTTTTTCAGGCCAATCTGATCCAGGATTTCCCAGAAATTTACTAAATCAAACCTGAAGAGTGAGAAGATATCGGTAACTCTTTTAACTCCGGGAAAATTGCCTGGAGGCTGCGGAGCATGTGTACCCGTTCATTAACTCTGAATCACGTGCATTCAATCAAATGAAAATACAACAGCATTGAGAAAAGTAGCCTTACTTATCCATTACATAACGTTATCATATACGGACAAAAATATATATACTTGAAACAAGTACATTATATATTTCATCTTAGAATATTCGATTATCAATGCGATATCGATAAAAAGTGATTTTCGTACGAGGAAAACAATTTTTTTTTTCGTATTTGTTCTGCGGAATTTTTTTTTATTAATATAGATCTTTATTCTTGTCAATTAATATTTAAATAGAAATGCAATGCAATTATGTAGCAATGGTATCGTAGACGGTTTCTTGATTTTTATTATCTTCGATTTCACGGGTTCCAAGAGGGATGAGATTTTTTCTCCCTATGTCCAACAATTTTTATCATTCGGACTCATTTTCTTTTTCGGAAAATGAGGAAAAGATGGAGGCGGGAGGTATTTCTATTTCTATTTCAGGAATCAACTAATTCAAATAATAACTTTTTTTTTAACTCACTGGTTGTTTCTGAGGCAGCCAAATGCCACTTGTTGTTGAGGTAAATCTCAGTCCCTGTGATCGAAAACAAATCCGCAAACTTTTTGGTATGAATAAAGCGTACATTTTTGTCAATTGTTAATTAATAAAGGGAGATGAAAAATCTTTTTTGTCGATTAAAGCTCGACAACTGTTCGACAGGCGACTAACTAGTTACGAGGAAATTCTTCACCGAAGTTGAAGAACATCGACTTGTTATCGTTTATCAGTCTGTCGAAGGAAGATTAAACGGGCTGAATTGTGAAGTGAGACAGTGAGATACTATTCTTCTGAGCATTCCCCCGGCACCCGCAAATCCCAAGGGCACGCAAAGTCCGTCGATGACGTATTAGTGTCAGTGACCCTCCTCCAATTATTTTCTGCATCCAAACACGGAAGTGCAACTGTGATATCGAGGTTCCACTCATACGGAAATTGTTTACAACAATTGGATGTATTATAGCGTAATGTCTAATTATAAATTATTCCTAAGCACTTGACTAAATTTTTCAGGAAATTTTGGGATGAAAAAATGAATTTATCAGTGAGTGATGAGGAGATCGAATTGAATTCTCGATTGATGACACGTTTTATTTTTTCATCTTCATTAGAAGATGGAATTTGAAAAATCAATTTCTCCGCGCGTAATGGGCCTAGTGTCATCGACTGAGAAATGAAATTTCACGCTCAGTCAATACCAGGGTTCAGGAAAGTAATGAATAAATAATAATTCAGTGTTTACTGCCTTCATTTATTTTTCACCACTTCTTTTCTTGCATACATGCTTGATAGTTCCTTCTTAACATCTTCTCATGAAACAATTTCTCTCGAAATTCTGTTATTTCATATAAACCTGTCCTTTCGCAATCGCATTAGGTACCTTTAAATGCCTCGATGTTAGTCTTGACTTTCACAAAAGGGTATTACCACAAAGTGTATCTACTTGTTGGGCTATTTTTTCACTCCTCCCGTGGAAAGTATTTCCAATTCAACAATTTTTGTTTTTTTATTCATTCTTTTTTTTCCTCATTCTCTTTGCTCTCTCATTTTCTTGGCTTCGATAAACTCGCCTTTCAATTCTATTTTTTTCTCATAAAGCTCGTGCAGTATGTTTTGCAGCAGCGAGAATCTCTTTTACCAAATACCTTTTGGTATTTCTTTTACATGTGTACGTTCTGGTACCTGTTCATTTTTTTTATATCTCTTTTTTTACTTCTGCTGAGGGATTCTTCTTGGTGGAGGTAAATTGAAAGGAATCAGGGAACTGTGGAGATCAATCGGGATACATTTTTTTTTTTCATTAGTTAATTTTTTTTTTTTTATCGTTTTCCATTTTAAATTGACGTTTTCGTCTTTAAGGAGGAAGAAAAAGGTAAGTATTTATTAGTTTGCATTTTCTAAGGCGTTAAATTATAATTAGGAGATATGATTAAGACAAAGTCATTAATGATTACGGAAAACAAAAAAATACAATACCACTTCGGGTTGTTTAATATTTTCATTTAACACCATGTCAACTTCATCGACTACGCCAAAACTCTTTCCCTTAATTCTTTTTATTCCTCTACTTTCAACCCTTTATCTCTCCTTATCTCCCTCAATTCTTATATATTTTTTAAAATATATTGCTTCTTCAAATCAATTATACGGTATTACTTTTCACTATTTTTATCTACTATACTTCATCATCACGAAGTTCGGGGTTATCGATTTATTCGTATAGATGGAGAACGCGTGAAAATTTCACAAATAATTTTACATCCATGAATAATGGAGTGTCAAATAAAAATTGAAAACAGGACAAAAAATGAAGTCATAACTATGGAAGCAATTCAGCAATCAGTAAAATTTCGATTTCCCACTTTTTCCAAACGGTATTTTTTCTCCCGAAAAAAAAAAAACAACTTGACAAAAAAATTATATATACATGGAAACCAGCAACCAATTACAAAACTTAACCGAAATGAATAATGAAAACAAACACTCGTTTTTTTTTTTCATTTGGCCTCAACTGGAGAAAAGTATGAGGTTCATTATCATTTTCTTGTTTTCCTATTCGCAGGATTCATGATTTATCAACTATGTTCCCTAAATGAACTCTCTTTCCCATCATCGTTAATCACACGATTTCTTATGATTATCTGCAGATGTTTATGTTCGTTTCTCCCTTGACGTTTTTTTTCCTCATATCATTTGGTTCTTACTTATAACAAGGGGGCTAGTTGTACCTCCTTGGATTCATGCATAACAAATTCCACATGCCGAGGGGGACCCCCTTGTTTGGTTTCCTTTTGACTTTATATTGATTTTCCTTAAAAAAATGTTTCTATCAGTTCAAATAGTTGAATAGTTTTACAAGAAACAATAACAGCTGGGTGATGCGTTGAATCAACGAAAGGGCGATGACCTCAGTTGTTTGAGAAGCTTTTAGCAACCAGTTTACAGTGTTAACGGTCGCAAGGCTGCCAGTGGCCGACATTTAAAGCTGCTACTATGCCTTCTGTAATTTAATCATTAATTGAAATTTATAACTCAAATGACACTGAGTTTTTCATTCGTGTGGAGTTCATCATATATAAATAAAATATTGAATGGAAGATGATGAAATAAATAATAAAAGCAATTTACCTTTTTCGGTCGTTAAGTAATGACACGCTTGGTTGCACCCACCCAAGATGCCCCAGTGTGAAAGAATCCTTGCCAACTCTGTCAGCCTCTCGACTGAGAAGATCGTCAGTTTCGATTGAGGAATAATAAAAATGATCCTCCTCAGCCAAAATTCTTCTCTTAATTGGTGATCTGACAGGATCGGTCTGAATAGACTTGTCGCACTGACGTACACGAAACTTCAAAGTCAACCCAGAGGTCTGCGGAACTATAACATCATCTCTGTACTCCATGTAAGGGCTTTCACCACCAGGTAGATACAGCAAGTTCCCGGACTCTGATCGTCGATAAGCCACTCTCTCAAAATTATTATTAACTGGAAATGTGGTGCCATCAGCCCAGTTACCATCGTCCTTGATTGGACAAAAATGTGTACGTGCAGATGTTAATAAATCCTCATCATCATCCTCGCATTCGCCATCACCATCGTTATCACCTTCACCATCATTATCATTATCATGATCATTATCATCTTCATCTTCATTTTCAGCATCACCATCACCATCAAGATCATCATCGAGAACAACAACAATGTCCTGAACGCTGTTGATCTCAGGGTGTGATGTTAATTTGTCGCCAATTACTGTTGGTGTTTTGCAAGCTGGAATAGTGTAACAATTATCTTTTTTACGACTGATATCCAAAGCTTTGCTCATACTCCAGCACCAGGGCCCATCATTGACATAATCCGACCAGCTTAAATTGTAATCATGCTCATCCTTGGGAATTTCATTGGTACTCTTGCCGACAGAGAAGTGAATGTCCCAAGGAATAATGGGAGAATCATCGATGATGGATTCTTGATAAGGTGTTGTAGCCGATGACGCCGAATCATTGAATGGGAGAATCAGGGGCAGTTCACCAGTGTCAACTGGCCATAAGGGACCAGATGGTATTGACAACGATGGAGCCGCCCAGATTGATGTCTTGTCCTGAGAGTTACCTGGACCACTATCCCAAAGGGCTTCTAAACTCTCGTCGAACTTTGCTTGCAGCTGAGCCAGACGAAGCTGATCAAGCTCTAGTTCACGTTCTTTTTCCCGTTCACGTTCCATTGATTTTGCAAAGCCGAAAGATTCTTTTTCATTACTCCGACGAGATTCTATGGCCTGCTATGACGAAAAATGAGAGTAATGCTTTATGTTCCAGAGAAAAACCAGTGGAAAGTAGTAAAACGCTCCATTCATTATACTACGAGGAGGTTATTTTAATTTATCTTGACTAATAAAATCCCAGAATGAAGCAAACGTTGACGTTTGATGGGTACCGTTTTACTACTTATAATTGTTGTAACACTTTCAATAAATTTTAAAGGTATTGTACTTACTACAGACATTTTATTTTTTTTATGCCGACTTTTGTTGTTTGAAGTAGCACTAGTATTTTTATTGTTATTGCTGTTGTTCTTATTATTGTTTCCGTTGACACAGATGGTTCGGTTTTTATTATTGTTGTTGGTGATGCCCAAGTTCTTGTCCTTTTTGTGGGTTGTTTTCTTCGGAGTGGCAGGCTGCAGCGCTGGGAAAGCGGCGTAGTACCTGAGCGCTCTGTCACGGGGGGTTAATGACTCAAAGGTACTTGACTTATTGTCATCCTCAAGTTTTTGGCATTCACCCTTATCGTCATTAGCACCGCCCCCTTCAAGATCTCTCAGTTTGGCGCACAATTCGTCCACCAGTGACTCTACTCCGCATTTCTGTCAAGTTTCAAGAATTCAAGGTTTTCAATAGAAAATTTATCTCACATTTGTTTAAATCTTTGGTGACTACTACAAGAATCTGATAATGTCAGATAAGGAAAAATTATAGAGAAGTCCTTTCTTTATTTTTTTCGAGGACTTTGTCTAAATGAAGTAAATACTCCGATAATATCGATAATATTCCGGACATTTCTAGTTCTGATTCATCCTAATCGGAGAGAAAACTGCGTTCGTAGATAAAAATATTAAACAAATAAATCATTCAATTTGTGTTCTAATATAGACGTGAAACTTCTATTTTTTACGCTATTATGTCCCACATTTTTTTTGTCATACTTGGAAAAGCCCTAGGTTTAATGGGTTTTCCTCAGTACGTAAGCCATTTTCCGGATTTGGCTGCTGATGAGTCGAGATCATTACTGAGGTAATTAGAGAATAATACGACTAATGAGAAAAATGTAAGATTTTGACGACCTGAAAGAAAAGTGAAATTACCTGATCAGCGGCATTGGTGAGACATTGCACAACCGCGCGTCTCTGTTCTCTGTCACCCTGCAGGGGCAATCTCACCCTGGTGCGTAGCCGATTGTGTCGTCCGCCAGTGTTGAGGGATGGAGACAGGGCCGAGTCGGGGCGGCGCAACAGGCTAAGAACGAAACGCGAGTAAGCAACTGGGTCAATGCCCAATGCATCCAAGCGTGATTCAAGCCAAAGGCGCAACTCCTCCTCGGCCCGATTACCAAACACCCCGCCGCCACCGGGCGACGACGCTATCCCGACGAGACGAAGTGCTGGATTCCTCATTCCAAATCTTTGGGCAACCACCAGGTCCCTTGCACGCTTGTCAACTCCGCTTCTTCCGGGGTGAACATCTCTCCTCTTTAAAATCAATTATTCGCTATAAATTTTTCAATTGTACAATCAACATTATAATTAACGATCATTAAAATTTCACTCGGCATTATAAACTCACCTATTAATATTTTATGTTATTGTCCTTATTTAAAAATAATTCGACTCCAGTGTGTCCACCACCTTTTTACCGACAACCCAATTGGAAACTCGAAAGATACCCGATTGCTACAAAAAATATTTTCGTTCGCTAAGCAATTATTTAGTAATCGAAACAAATAGCCGTGTAAGTTCTTAAAATGTTGAATTATGGGTGCTCCATCGGTATCAATATAACTTTGGTTGTGGTACCCCGGTGGGAGATGCGTCGTCGTTGAGAGGATGGCAGGCCTTAATGAAGGAAAAAGATTCTCTTCTTCCCATGTTGACTCTGCAACAATAAACCTAATATATAATACCTGGATTAACTTCAAATAAGATTTCAAATTAGAGCCGAAAAATTATCCACTCGATTCATTTATATATCGAATAACCACATGTTTAAAATTCCTCCATTGCGATCCATTGCGATTGCGATTGTCTCCAGAACTTACTATTTATTCCTGGTACGATGATATAATAAAGATAAATGTAATATTGTACTGCAACAAATATAGTAGAAATCATTCGTGAAATACCTTGATAGCTAATGATTGTATGTGAATACGGCGATTATACCTTTCATTAAGTTATTCATTCTATACCAAAACCCGCCAATAAAACTCTAACTGACCATCTCGACCTTATCACTCACAAAATTCATTCATATATACTCACAGCTGAAAGCCTTTCACATATGGAGAACTGACACAACTCCAAATACATAACAAAATATGTTGCAACAATGACTAACATACACAATTATCTACGATGTGTACCCTTGAACGGACAATCGGACTGGTCATCCGTCAAGAGAGAAAAAAAATTCAAGTTATTATTATATATACGTGAAAAACCCACGTCACAGCCCATCGATAAGGTATATCCAAACGTAACATCAGTCATCAACTGAAAACACTTTTCACCTACTCCAGAAGTTGATGGAGGGCTTCCAGGGACTCCAGGGCTTGTGGATAATACAAATAACCTTTTTTCAATTGTGGTTTCGACTGACTCATAGAGACTCATGCTTACTATCTTGGGTTTACTGAATCTGGGCTCTACCTTCTCTGCTCATCCAACGTTGCGAAATTATTGAATATTCATTTATGCATCAGCGTATCAATATACCAATCAATATCAACATGAGATTTATTGTTTTGTCAATGATTTTTAATGGAATTAAGGTGATTGTCATTACCTGCATATCCCGAGAGATGATATTTTCACCCCGGCCTTTTCTAGACACCCCACTTGGTGAAAAACATGGCGGGCCACTAAGCCCCAGTTCCCTCCTCAACCCCTCCTCATCCCTCCCCGTACTCGCACCACCCCTTCTTCACAACTTTTGGCCTCAGGGCCGTATCCATTGCTCCATTACCCACTCAGCTATATTCCTTCATTTCCTCGACAAAATATCTTCTTTGTCTCCCGCCTCTCTCGTCTCTCTCGTCCTATTGCATCAAATGATGAAATTATTCAAGGAGTTACTGTCCATGTCTTTTCATTTTTCATGGTTTTTTCTTGGAAATTTCGGAGAATATATGGTTTTTTGGAAGGAAGGTATATATGGATTTTTCGATTTTTTCATTTTTCAATGACTCACAAATTTTTATAATTCTGCGCATAAAATCTACAATTTTGAATAAATTCATAAACAACTGATGAGTCATTTTTGTTCGTAGAATGATTGATTAAAATTAAAAAAATTTCTTCAATCTTCCGCATTTACGAAATTTTTATGAAATAATAGGCTTTATTTGTCTTCCTATTCAACAATTCTATTACAAAAATAAGGAAGAGAAAATTATTGTCCAATGGGAATTATCGACACGCGTTATTTTATTCCATTTTATTTATATATATAATTATACAGAGTGTCTCATATCAATGCTGGAGACAATTAGTAATAAACAGCGTCTTGCAGTTTTATTCGTATTATTTTTCTATCTTATATTTCCCTCGTAAATCGTACAAATTGAATTAAGGTACCAGAGAGAGTTTCAAATCAATTTTTTAAAAAACGAGACACTTCGTGATCGCTGAGTCTAGAAGGACTAAAAGTAATACCAATCGGATGATTCAAATTGAATCAAAAAATTTATTCCTCCACCTTGTAGTCATTATTTTCTGCTTAAATATAACTTGGCCTTCAGACAATACTGCCAGTGATTAAAAACTCTCTTTTTCACCTTAATTATTAAAAAGAACATTTTTTCACGAAAATGCCACAGAAAATTGAATAGACTTCGAAGTGAAGTGATAAAAGCGGGTAGGTTCAGAACTTCCTATTCAGTAATTCTCGAATATTTTCTTGAATATTTTATCGAATATTTCCTCGAATATTTTCTCGAATATTTTATTTTACTCGAAACAAATGTATGTATATGGGCCATTCCATTAATTATATTATGCAAATTCGGTCCCAACATTTTCAGTAATTATTTTCAGACTTACTTAAGAATGGATGAGCAATAAGATCTCGTGAAGAGGTAGAAGTCATGTTTCCCAGTGGAAGAGACTGTACGAACTTCAACGATTTCCCCTGTAAATTGGGGAAACAAAATTTTCTTTTTTTTTAAAAAGCATGCCCAATCGACATAGTATTTAATCCGTGTTCGCTCATATGATACTAAACCAATGAAAATTAAGAAACAGAAATTGAATCTGTCGAAAATCGATTTTTCTGATTCAAGAATTTATTTACAAACTTCATCGATGGATGTACTTTTATTTACATGGATAGCTATATTTACAAGCTTAATTGTAATTAAATAATTTCTTGAATTGTAAAAAGTGAATTTTTGCGCCTTCATTAGTTGTTTCATTTTTCGTCAGTTGAGGATTATAGGAATGATCAGAGGTCCAATACTACATCGATCTCAAAATTTTGTGAATGTAATTTTGTTTTAATCCATGAAAAAATAGGAGCAACAGTGAAGTTAAGAATTTATTTTTTGTGTTTCGAGTGTTCGAGCTGTTGAAGTCTCTCCAATTGAAAAACTGGATCTTTTCTTTTTGAAGAATTTCCTTCTCCATACATATTTAATTCAAAAAAGTAATGAAAATAATTTCGTGAATTGTGAGACAGGATTCGCATATATTTGCGTGTATTTAGAGGAACAGCCCATATTTGTATATGAAGATATATCAACCGGCGTCAATAAAATATGTACGTGTTCCGAACTTATCTCTTCTTTACCACTTCCCTCACGATTTTTTTCACTGATGGAATGATATTGTTCCGAAGTTAATCCAAATCGAACGGAAAGAGGTAAAAGGGTGAATGAATTCCAATTTTAGTCGTGTCCAGCACGTGATTCCACTGCATTTCGACAGTGAAAAGTGACTTTCTCCTCTTGTTATTTCATTTTCCTCTTTTCAGCACAGGATGCATTAACGTTTTAAATCCACCATGATAGGTACGTCCAGAGTTTGAACACATGAATCAATCAAATATATTAATTTTCATTGCGTAAATTCCCTCCGATAATCGTTGAAATTCTCTCGATTCTTCATTGCTCCCACTAGACCATTTTTTTTTTGTTCACCGAATAAATGAAACACATTTGTTCCTTCAGATGAAACTCACTTCTCATTTCATTTGAGTTGGTAGTTTATACTGTCTGATGTCCAAACTCAACACCTTGCGATGTTCATCCTGATAAAAAATAGAAAGAAAAAAATCGTTGGCCTATGCGTAGAGGAATTTAAATTTATGGGACTCGTGCGAATCACAGCTGCTTAGAACCTTCAGTTTTTTTCGCCTTCGGAGGTGGTACACTCGTTAGAGAGGCATCTCTAACTGGATTAGAGTCCAGAGGATCTTTTAAGATTGGCGCTGGATCTCGCAACTCCTCAGCTTCGGATTTCACTGTGATTTTTGGTGTGGCCTCATCATCTAGATTTTCACACAGTGGTTCCTTTGATTTCACTGGATGGATTGACGGCACTACGGAGGCTTTCTCGGGTTGAATTTCATCCGAAGGCTTGTCTTTGCTATCTTTCTTCAAGGCTTTGGAAATCTGATCTTCCACTTCCAAAACCTCCTCCTTATCTATGAGGTCAATTAATTCATTCAACTGCTTCTTGTTCAGTTTTACATCTTCTTTGCCGATCAGCTCAATCACCTTGAAGGAAAAAAAAGAATAATTATTTTATGGGTCTTAAAATAATGCCAAGAGGCCATTTTTTATTATTTTCATCTCTTGTTCTTTTTCAAATATCTCAAAAACGATTTGATATTTATTTATCGTTCCCAGTGAAGAGTAATTTCAGGAAAAAAATATCGTCTCTAAACGAACATATGTTTTCAACTGATTTAAATAGAATTTACCTTTAGTACATCCTCAATTTTTATTGCACCATCCCTATCATCATCGATCTTCCCCAAAATCTCGGAAATCCTTGAGAGTCTGTTTTCGTCCGGAACACTCTGAATTTGCTTGATAGCAGCAATAAGTTCGTCCACCTTCACCAGTTCCTCGACCACATGAGAACCCTCTTTCTCCTCAGGTTTCAGTGTCTCAATCTTCTTCTTCACTTGTTCCTCGCTCTTCTCCAACTCTTTCAACACATTATCCATCTTTGAAATCATCTTATTAACCTTGTTAAACAGACGTTTAGCTCCCTTGGACACTTTAATATCTTCAATTTCCCCTCGGGCCTCTGCCTTCATCTGATCCAATTCCTTGATATCTTCCTGGTACTCTGCCATCTCTTCCTTGAGCTCCTTCAGCTCCTCCTTCTCTACGACAAGCTTCTTATCTTTTCCAATCGAATCAAGGGCTTGTTCAAGAACCTTAACATCCTTAGTGGTGATTTCGTCTTTCTTTTCTTCTCGGGCAGCAATAATTGGTTCAGGCTCTTTCGCCTCCTTCTTCTCCTTCCTCTCCTCCTCAATTTTGCGTTCCTCCATTTTAATAATTTCTATGTTTGTTCTATGATCAACTTTGCCCTCTTTCTCACCAATAGCGCCTTTCGTTGCTGCTAGAACATCATCAGGAAGTGCTGATATTGTAACCTTGAGTTTATCAGACATTGGCATTGTCTCTGGTACCATGAGAGCTCGAGAAAGGAGGAGGAGTGAAGGAGGAACCTTTTTGTGAATACTCAGGTCCAACCACTGGGATAACTGATCCTTCAATTTATTTTCTGGCATTCCATAGGCCCTCATCCCTCGTGCTCGGCAGGCTTGCTGCAGCTCTGCTCGTGTCAGGGTTTCAACTCCTTCTTTATCAATCAACCTATCGTCTGCTGCGAGACTTCTGAGCCTCATTCTCAAGAGATAACGCAGAAAGTTTGTTGTGCCCAGGGTCTGCACATCCAGTACTCGACACAGGGCGATTAATTGGGGACGCGAGAGGGAGTCCAGAGTGATTTCATCTTCAAAAAGTTTGGAGAACTTCATGATCTCCTCGTTAGAAGCTGTAGCACCTGTTGAACGAAGTTTGTAAAAGAATTCAGAAAACTCTTTGGCTTTCTCGGACTTGTGATTTGGTGACTGCACTGCCATTTCATCCAGCGTTTTCTGGAGGAACTTTGCCATTTCTATTTTAACTTTTAGGGCTTGTTTCAATTTGTCTTCTTTCTCTGTTGCTGTCTGGAAGGTTGATGGCAACATTCCAGGGAAAAATTTGATTGCCACTGGTAAAAGAAACTCCATAAAGGGAACGATTATGAAAACCGAGAAAGGAATCAGTCGGAACATATCACCAGTTGTTTTAACGAGCAATCGATGTTCTCGTCTTGTCAATTCCTTTCCTTTGAGTACCCTCCAAATAAGTTTCGCTGAAATTTTCATATCAAGTCCCAATAACCTGAATCCATGATAATAGTGGAGCATCTCAGCCTTTATCTTTTGCCATAAAGTTCGTTTTTGAGGAACTGCTTTGTCTGGTGCTTTGGTGATATCGCTGGCCAATGCAACTATCATTTTTTCTTTCTCTTCTTTTTCTTCTTTGAGATTCTTCACAGTTTCTTCTACCTTCGACGAAGGCTCTTGCCCACTCCATGCTGGAGTAAAATGAAAACTTCGATTCTGGGAATATGAAATCTGAATATTTGATCTCAGAATCGACGAATCAATTCCAGAAACGATTCGCTTCTCTGATTTACTCGGATATGAAAATAAAAGTCCTAGACTGCGATTATCGAGGTACAGCCGTCGTCTGGTATAGCACCCTGTAATTGAACGAAAATTTATTCCCAAAGAATTTTATTTTATGGATTATGATTAAATATTTTACAACTGGACATAAAATCACAAATTTTACTAAATTTCATGACAAGACTCTTGTCTAGATTCACTTAACGTAAAAGAATATTCGAATGCTACAATAATTAATTGGGCTGGTTAAATTATCTACATGAGAAGTGACGGATATTCAAAGATCTCGTATTAAACCAGTTTCACTTATGATATCCTCCATAATTTCTTCATGGAGGAAACCATGGAGAGAAAACATCATGTGGACAGCCTAACCTTTGCTCCCACTGAACTTCACAATTACTCAGAGTTAACTGAACGGACCTTTGATGATAAATCTATTTGAAAAACCGGTGACACCACCAGAAATAATAATAGTCCGGCATGACCATCGATGAATTTGCCAAATGTTACATAAATGAATAAAACCGGCACGATACAAGCGAGCAGTCACTTTATCTGATGTTTAGTTTTTTCCCATCTTATTGGGGAAATTTCCATCAACCAGGTGAAATAAATATCTCAAGAGTGAATTTATGCTACGTACGTCTCATGATGCCAGCATTAATTGCAACCATAGCCCTCGTGTAAACAACAGTATTCATGGTAAATTATTTGTGACGCTGAATTATATTTCTCTCGCGAATTTTCGAGGACCGTATTTCTTTTCAGATTGTACAATGTTACAGCCATCACACATATCACTCACGACACCAGTAAAAAACTAGGAGTGTGATGTTAGCTAGAAGACATCAGCTGGACAAGTCCAATGTTGCCACATTTCAAAAGAGGAAAGGAAAAGAATATTCCGTACTGGTGGCAGCTGAATTGTTGTCGACTTGCAGATAATTGTTTAATGCAGGGTGAGTGCGTTAATAACTAATTGACATGAAGGAATTAAATTACTGCCATTAATGCTATCAATTAAGATCTGAATTCCCTATCAGTTGCTATTGATTTAATTATTTTGGGTTATCCTGCACTTTTCAATTCAAATTCTCAAACTCAATTTTCAAAATTAATTCAGGCGCCACCATTATGAAATTGTACTACAGCTGAGCCCTGAAAAATGTTCTGCTCTGTTTTAGCCAAAATGAACCGTTTTTTAAATTTTTTGAAAAGTGTAGAGACACACAGGACAATTATTGTACCATAATAACATTTTGGGAAGTATTAAAAAAATAATTGTCTGCTAATCAAAGACATGGCACATACTACCAAAGAGGATTGACTAAAGTAGAGGCTCAGTTATTGAAAAAAAAAATTCTAGTCCCAAAATTCACTTTTTTCCATGAAAAAAATGACAGTTATCATCAGTATTTTATTGTGTCGACAATAAAAATTCAAAAAAAAAAAGATTAAACCTCCGTGGTATTAGGTACATAACTAGCCGACCTCCCTAGTCAATGCCGTGCAGTGTTGCAGTCAGGTAGAATAAACAGTGGAAAGATAAAATAGAAAAATAAGAAAGTACCGTTGATAACTGATATGTCGTCTCCATCAACTCCTAAAGCGGTGGTTAAGGAACAATTAAAGCATTCATTATCCGATAATGATGAAGCAGTGAATAGTGGTGCTAAACTTAAAGCTCCGACATCACAACAAAATGAGGATGAAACAACAGTGGAAACGGCGGATATCGCTGAGAGTTCGGAATCACGGAAGCGCAAGCATGATGGTGATGGTGATGAACGAGAGTCTCAAAAACCAATGCTAGCAAAAAGCAATCCTACAGGAGAAACATCGGTGTGCCAATGATCGATTTGTACTTGATAATTATGAGAGACGAAAATCTTCAAGCTCCTTTAATTGACAAATATTTTACAGACAAGTGGGATCCCATCGGATTTATCGACTGGAAGCGGTAGGGATATTGTGGAGCCCGAGAACCAAGCTACCGATCACACTAAGGTTGTGACACAACATTATAATGCCCTGGAGGAGAAAGGATTGTCTCAGAGAGCACAGAGTCGAATTATTTTCATGAGGAACTTCAATAATTGGATTAAGAGCATGCTCATAAGTAATTGCACATTATTATTATTTTGGTAGAACTCGGGGGGTTGTGAAGAGAAAGGTTACCATGGGAGCTACATTTTTCTAGATTTTTTTTTTTGAGGAATAAAAAAGCTGTATGTCATATTGTGGAATAAGTCCATGAATTAATTAATTGCATAGCTTTTTTTTCTTGCAGATGAATTTTTAGAAAAACTCAGACAGAGCTCGAGCCAGGGTTCAGCCCTCAAAGTACTCGACATGTGTTGTGGTAAAGGTGGAGACCTCCTGAAATGGAAAAAGGCAAACATTGCTCACTTAATTTGTGCTGATATTGCTGACGTATCCATTGAACAGTGCGAGACGCGTTATAAAGATATAGAGAATCGTAGCAAAAATGACAGAGGCTTTGCTCCACTGTTCTCTTCCGAATTCCTCGTTGCTGACTGCACAAAGGTATATAGAGCCTGTTATCATTATTTTGTATTTTGTCGTTGAGCGACAATAATGTAGACACGTTTAACAACGGGAAATATTTTTTAATGACAAAGATTTCAGGTTCGGTTGAGAGAGAAGTACAGAGATCCCAGCGTGCTGCTTGATCTTGTTAGTTGTCAATTTGCATTGCATTATAGTTTTGAGACACTACCGCAGGCCGAATGTATGATGCAAAATGCTGCTGAGACACTGAGAGCTGGTGGCTATTTTATCGCCAGTATTCCAGATGCTTATGATTTAGTGTACGTAATCATTTGCATATCTCATTATTTTTTTATTTCATTTTAATTACACAATTGCATTCCTCAGGTCACGGTGGAAGAAAATCGATGGAAACAAATTCGGCAACGACATTTTCAACGTTGAATTTTTAATCGAAAAAGAAAATATCCCGTTATTCGGGGCCAAATACAATTTTCATCTTGAGGGAGTTGTTGATTGTCCCGAGTTTCTTGTATATTTACCACTTCTAAAAAAACTTGCTCGAAAATATGGCCTAGAAATGGTGATGTTCGAAAGGTATTTATTATTAATGATTATTAATTAAAAATCATGGTCGTTAAATAATAACCCATTGAAGCCTCAGAAATAAACATATAACTAATCTTTCAATTTATGTTATAATTTATCCGTTTGTGAACAAGTTTGGAAACTGCAATGAATTAATTTATTTCACAGGTTCGATGCATTTTATAATCGTATGAAGGATGAGGGGCGATCACTTTTAGGTAACATGCAGGCACTAGAGACTTATCCACCTTACCATGAAGCACCTCTTCTCGGGCAAGGCCCGGCAGACTATTTACATGCTATCCAATATATGCAGAATTCCACAGGACACAGGAAAATTGGAACATTGTCGCATTCAGAGTGGGACGCAACATGTGAGTAATTAAATTCAAAAAATTGCATATCTCTCAGTGGAGAGTCGGAAATGAATACCGCGTATTGTTGAAATTTAAACAGCATTGAATTCAGAAACATGAAAAGACCCTTCAAGATAAAAACATCTTGATTCGTATATAATTTATTCATTTTTCTCATGTATTACCATTAATTTCAGCTTTATACGCAGTTGTTGCCTTTCAAAAGATGAGAACAACATGGAATTCTGAGGGGAAGCCTGAGTATTGCAAACTTTAATTTAGGACAATTTTTTATATATAAAATAGAAATTGTAAGAATCAATCATGAGAAACGAAGAGAATTATTTTTCATTGAGATTGCGAACAAATGATATCGAGTTAATTTCATGTTCTTTCTTGTTCCATCTACAATGCTGAGTGAATGACGCAAATTGTATAATAAAAAGATTTTTCGTATTTTGTGAAGCGATTGTATGAATGGCGTTAAGATATTTCTAATGTACAAAATTTGAAAATTTTCGTAAAGCATAATAAAGTAGAACCGTGATCCAGGTATCGAAGATGTAGGTGTGGTAATTTTCACGTTAATACGAAGGTGAATGGACGATTGTGAAGGGGAGGAGACTTAACAGAAACATTAAGCCCAACGTGAAGGGTCACGGGGTACTGAATAAATACAAGCAACTACCTGGAAACTTGCAGGTGTAAAGTGTCAATTTTTCTTATGAATATCGAAAGTAATAAATTCTCAACTTCTTGCCCACTTCATCAAAAATTTTACATGAACTAATGCCATTACTTTCGATGGCTAGAAAATTATTAAAACTTCTTGATTCCGTGGAATTTGCAATTCCATTGAATTCCCCGCAATTATTCTGACAACGAGACGTAAGAAAAAATCACAAAACCTGTTTTCACCTCTCGAAAAATGCCAATGGCTTAAAAAATTTCGCAATCAAAAATCTAGAACTAATTTGATTAGTGTCCACATTTGTGTACCGTCAGGACCTGAAATTTTTAATTTTGCCATGAATACTCATCGGATATCGAATGAGCAACACCCAAAATACGAGTATTCAAATGAAATTTTCCATTCAAATAATGAAAAACCTGATTTAATTTATATCCTCACTCCTATACCGATTCTATCATTATAACAAATGAAGAGAGTGAATATTTATTTTAAACAAAAAGAGGGAGAATTAGTGTGAGATAGGCGGAGTTTGGTCAGCGCGCGCGCAGTGAGCAATAATGGACACTTAGACGCAGCTTGGGCGCTCGTGTCTCCTGCGTTACGTTGGCCTTAGCCACTCGCAATTGCTCGCCACTCTGTTCTTTAGGCTACCCAGAGTCCCCAGAGTCTATCAGACAGTCTCGGGTAGTCACCTATAACACGAGAAACTCTAAGTTCCAATGAGTGGTGAAATGGAGCTCGAGGAGACCCAAAATCGGTCGAAACCGGACACCGTAAGTACAAATATCACATTAATTTCGCATGAGAAACAATCGTAGGTGATTAGAATTATCCAAAACCTCCGGGTTATGTCGGTTATCTCTTAAAATACGGCACGTTGAGGGGACGCGAAATTTTTCTAAGTCCCCAAAATGGCGTCTGCGACTAAGTCCCCTTGTACAGATTCCACAATCTATGATACAGAGTCCAATCACTTATTTCATTTTTTTTTTTATTGATTTTTGTTCTGTTAGAAATAATAATTGTTTCTTCAGATCATGATTTTTTTTTCAACGTTCTCCATGACCTTGAATATTTACTGGAGTGTTTTTTTTTGACTGTTTATCACAGGAGAAAGGGGCCAAGGAGAATAGCAGTGCGGCCGGGAATCATGGAGGTAAGAAGGCATCAATATCACTTGCCTATAGCATAAGAGACGCCGCTGTTGAAACAGGGGAGTAAAGGAGAAAAAAAGGGTGAAAATGTTTCATTCTGGTTTGCCACGCATATATGGACGGGATATAAAATGAAAGAGAACAAGTGAGGGACAGATAGACAGCAACTCTAGTTGGGACACGTGCATGGATTCGCATGATGCCCTCTCGGTATTCTAGAGACTCTAGAGGCAGTGAGGGTCTAGAGACTCTGAATTATTTAAATTTCCCATTACTTTTTGCCAATCCATCGATTTTTTTGTAAATTGCGGGTGCTGAAAAACAGAGCAATGAATGGAGACGAAAATTTTTACGAGATGATTGTGTTTTTAGACAAGTATAGGATTTTAAATGTTAATAAGAAGCAGCTGAAATGTTTAACTACAAGTGAAGAAAGGGATAATAATGAAAATTATTTGGATTTTTCAATTTGGTAATTATAATAATATTTGCATGATTGTGGAGAGAAATATTTCGAAATGAAAAATTTGTGTCGAATTTCGTTTCCAATTCTCAAGTACTATTCGCGCAACGTTATCAATTTACTTTTTAATTATTTATTGCATTCACCTCAAGTTTGTTACAAACAAATATTGAGTCTTTCCCCACGGAGTAATTGTGCAGTTAGTGATTTTGCTAAAAATACTCTGTAAACGACGTTTACTAGAGTGTACTAATTCTTGAAAAAAAAATCGATAAATTATCTTAAAGTTATTCTTCAACTCAATTAATCGACATTCAACCAGTCTTATTTCACTGAATGATTGCAACGAAACCAACAATTCATTCAACGTTTTTTAAAGTTTGGAATGAAAAACAGCTTGGATATTTTCAACTTGACAAATATTTATAAAAACATTTCAGATGCCCACCTGAACGGAATATCGAACGGTTACGACAGTCGTAAAGAGCACAAAAGTGATCATCGTACCAAAGAACGATCCCACAAATCGGAACACCGTGATAAGGATCGCAGCCGTAGTGACAAGGACAAGAGCCATAAAAGTGAGCATCGTGATAAAGACAAGGATCGTCATAAGCACAGCTCAAGTTCCAGTAGTAAGGATAAGGACAGACATGGTTCAAGCAGTTCCAGTAGTAAAGACAAGGATAGAGACAAAGATAATAAAGAGAAGAAATCATCGGGATCGTCATCCTCGAACAGAGACAAGGATAAAGATCGTGAGCACAAGAGTTCGTCATCGACCAAAGACAAGGAAAGAGAAAAGAGTCGGGATCACCATCACAAATCCTCGAGTTCTAGGGACAAGGATAGCTCAAAGGAATCATCCAAACATCATTCGAGCTCGAGTTCTAAGGACAAGGAGAGCTCGAAGAATCGCGATAAGGACAAGGAGAAGCATCGGCATAGCTCAAAGGATGATAAAGATAAATCATCATCCAAGGATAAGGATCGCAAACATTCCTCTGAGAAGGACAAAGAACGTCACTCTAGTTCTCATTCTTCCAGCGATAAAGACAAGAGTCGATCTGATAAAGATCGTCATCGTCATGATCGTGAGAAGGACAAGCATCGTCATGACAAGGATAAAGAAAGAAGCAAACATAGGGAAGAAAGAGAGCGAAAGGACGAGCCAAAGATTAAGGAAGAACCTGAAAAGACTGACGAGTTCAACCAGCACAGCTATCATGAGCAATATCAAATTAAGCTGGAGATTAAGGATGAACCGATAACTCAGGGGGATGCAGAGGACGATGGCAATAGCAGCGATGAAAATGGACTCTACATTAAAGAAGAGGATGATGACGAGTATAAGCAAGAAAATTCCACTGATGATGGCAATGATACGAGATTGTCTGAACTGCATAACACTACTCTGAAAACTGAAGAGGAATCCGAAGAGGATGTCCCATTGGTAATTAAATTCATTGTTTCGGTTATTCATTTTTTTTTTTCATATAAATGTCGAAATTTCTGTCACTTAACCACGCAATTCAGTTTAAACCTTTAATTTCTGCATCGATAAGAGGGGGGCAAAGCTAAATCATGAGTGTAAATTGCTGCTATCCGCCACAACAGTTTAATTCGACTTGGCGACTTGTAAATAATTTTGAGTTTAATATTTCTCCAATATGCATAGAGGGGGTGAAGTGGGATCAATGGATCGTTTTTTAAATATGATTTATCCTTTATTGAACGAGACGGATTATTCATGTCGTAGGGTTTGAGCTTCGCAAGATGTTCTTGTAAAAATTTCAATGCAAATATATAGGTATTAGGAATTATTCTGCGAAAGGGAAATTTAATAGACATGGACTTATTTCGATATACTCCTTCATGAGTGCGATAAGTTGATAATTACTCAATGCTTGAAAATTTCAGGCTGTTAGAAGACCCACATCTTCGCCCAGCGTTAAGAGAAAAGTGGATAGCAGTGATGAGGACGAAATTCCATTATCAGCAAGGAAAAAAGTTAAGAAAGAATCGGATAAAAGCAAGAAGAAGAAAAAGAGGAAAAACGATGATGATGATAATGATTTTGTTGAGAAGGTAATTAATCATTTTGAAAAGTTTGAATCATCTTCCTACAATTATTAATTAAATAATTAATTGTATTTGAAAAAATAGAAGCCTAAAAAGAAAGCTGGAAAACCCCCAAAAATCGAGAGCTCAACTCCCAGTCCACGGAAGAAGAAGAAGGAAGAGGAGGAGGTTGAGGTTTGGAAGTGGTAAGTCATTAACCCAACATCTCTGTCCCACGTGGTCTCGTTCTAACCTATTTTTATTCGTCACAAATAACGTAACCAATCCAAATGTACTCTAATAGTATCACCCGAAATCATGTCAAAATTATTCAAAACTGAAATACAATGCGAAGAACCTTTCGCTACATTACACGAGGATTGTACCGAGTATTTAATGTGGATTTCATAATACCGCGTAGCGAGTTACGTTATAAGCGGCAACAAAATCTGTTGCTGAGGTTATATACTGCGGGTTCACAAGAAAAACCGTCAGACAATATTACGTATGTTTTACTATTTTTAGGAGAAGAAGTTTCAATTACAAAATATCCTCTTGATTTCCGTTTACATAATTAAACTGCCTTTCATGTTTAATTATTTTCAGGAAATTCGGAGCAATTTAATTCTCGTGAAATTCTTTTAGAAATACAATAGAATCCTATTATAATTGCACCTCGCGAGGGATTGAATCCCGGGTAAAATAAAGCCGAAAAATAAATTTCCCGTATTCGAATTTTCTACGAAAAAATTAAGTTTATTTAGCTCGTTTCTTAATTGACAAAATAAAACTCGAATTCAGGTGGGAGGAGAAACCCCGCGAGGATGGTAAAAAGTGGACATTCCTGGAGCATAAAGGGCCACTCTTCGCTCCTGATTACGAACCTCTACCTCCTGATGTAAAATTCTGGTACAATGGAAAGGAAATGAAACTTTCTCTAGAGACTGAAGAAGTTGCAACATTCTACGCGCGCATGTTGAACCACGACTATACCACTAAACAAGTATTTAACGACAATTTTTTTCACGACTGGCGTGAAGTGATGAACGAGGATGAGCGTAGAAGAATCATGGATCTTTCGAAATGTGACTTCAGACCGATGCACGAATATTTCAACCAGAAGTCAGAAGAACGAAAACAAATGTCGAAAGAGGAGAAGAAAGTTATCAAAGAGAAGAATGAGGAAATTCAGAAAGAATACGGCATTTGCACGATCGACGGCCATCCAGAGAAAATTGGAAACTTTAGGATTGAACCACCGAGTCTGTTCAGAGGTCGAGGGGAGCATCCGAAGATGGGAAAATTGAAAAAACGAGTTCTCCCAGAAGACGTAATTATTAATTGTTCTAAGGATTCGAAATTCCCAAAGCCCCCATCAGGTCATAAGTGGAGGGAAATTCGTCACGACCCCGGCGTCACATGGCTCGCCTCGTGGAACGAGAATGTTCAAGGACAAGTCAAATACGTCATGCTGAATCCTTCAAGTAAACTTAAAGGGCAGAAGGACATGGATAAATATAACACTGCCAGAAAGCTTGCCGTCTTGATCGACAATATTCGGAAGAAATATCGAGAGGACTGGAAAAGTAAAGAGATGAAAGCGAGGCAAAGAGCAGTTGCTTTGTACTTCATTGATAAATTGGCCCTTAGGGCTGGAAATGAGAAGGATGAAGATCAAGCTGATACTGTCGGGTGTTGCTCTTTGAGAGTTGAGCACATTTCACTACATGAGAAAAAGGACGATAAAGAATATGTGGTTGTCTTTGATTTTCCTGGTAAAGATTCCATTCGGTATTACAACGAAGTACCTGTTGAAAAACGAGTTTTTAAGAATCTCGAACTCTTTATGGAGAATAAATCAGCTGGAGATGATTTGTTTGATAGAATCTCAACGACTGATCTCAACAAACACCTTAATGAACTGATGGACGGGCTCACTGCAAAAGTTTTCAGGACTTACAATGCTTCCATCACTCTTCAACAGCAACTGGAGAAGCTCACGAACCCGGACGACACTGTTGCTGAAAAATTGTTGGCTTATAATCGAGCTAATAGAACTGTCGCAATTCTGTGTAACCATCAGCGTTCTGTACCTAAAGGACATGCGAAGACAATGGAGAATATTAAGGGGAAGATTGAGGCGAAGAAAGCAGCAATCGAGGAAGCTGAAGAGATTGTCAAGGATGCCAAGAGAGAGTCAAGGGGAGGCTCTGTTACTGGAAAGGCACTCTATGAAAAGAAAAAGAAGCTACTGGAGAGGCTCAAAGAGCAGTTGACCAAACTAGAGGTGCAGGAAACTGATAAGGAAGAAAATAAGGCCATTGCACTTGGAACTTCCAAGCTGAATTATCTGGATCCCAGGATTTCTGTCGCCTGGTAAGAATGCATTTGAATTACAGTTTTCCCCATTGAAAGTAAAAATCAGTGCCGCTTACTCGCGGATTATTCATGATTATTGAATACTAATGTCATGTCATATTTGTTTATTATTTTATAGGTGTCGGAAATATGGAGTGCCAATTGAAAAGATTTACAACAAGACTCAACGTGACAAATTCAAGTGGGCGATAGATATGGCAACTGAAGATTACAATTTCACCGCCTCTCCTGAAGACGACTAAAATCATCTGACAATGCAAAAAGACGTTTAGCAATTCAACGATACGAAAACAAAAGCAGAATGATTTTATCCGTATTTACTGTGCGACGAGGAGAAAGAGACCAACAGTATAATTTTTTATTTTAAAATCACATGGTAAATAGAAAAATAGTTGAAAGTGTGATTGTGCTTCGATTACTTTATTATGGATAAAGGTGTAACGGGAGAGAAAATGGACGTTACATTAGGATTAATCGATGGATTTGGTGAAAAAACTCAATTACAACCAATTATTGTAATTAGTTGATGAATTCCTTGTGTGTAGAAAGAGGAATTAAACACATATTTCTAAGATGTCGGAGTATAGATATACTTCCGAATGTCTTTTAGATTTGATCTAATCTAATGATTGTAGTGGATGAAGAAGATAAAACGGAATCATATTTCTTTAGCAGAATTATTATTGTAACTTAGAATTGGATACTCGGCGTAAGGAAGTTAAGTATGATTTGATATAAATGAAAAATCTGTAAATATACCCAATTGGTTCAATACTTTGAGCGACTTTTATGATGCAACTTTTTTTTTAATCGTCGCCAATGGTATGGATATAATTAATCAATCGAATAATAAATAATTAAAAAGGAGAATTTTCTACGAAATTTCTTCTTTATAGGGGGATTGAATATCGAGAACCGAAAAAATGATGACAGAAGGGAGTGTAATTGAATCATTGAGTGTTTGAATTTGTTTTTATTTTTATCTTTTACTCGCAATAGGATTTCATTTCGAACTCTTTGTGTTCAACATTTTTTGGCTTTTAGGAAATTCATCGGGCGTGTTTGAGCAAACTGTATTTTGTCACGAAAATTAATAAAACCGTCGATAGAGTTTAACCTGGGATTTGAACATCGCTATTATCCAAGTAGATATCATTTTCAATTATTGCAATGTAATCAATCGTATAGCAATCATAAAAAAATTGATGAAAACTCAAATGATGCATAATTTCATGGATGTAATGTAATTAAAGCTACAAGAGTGTATGTATATGAAATAAATGTAAAAAGAAAGAAATGTAATTTACGTGAAAAAAAATTATCGTTTTTTTGGGTCACGGTTGAAATCCTCTTGAGTGCTGTACGATTTACCAGTGTTTTGCAGCCTGAAAAAAAGCCAAGACAATTTCGACTGGAGCCTAAATGAAGACCATTTTTTTTTATGTGAATTTTATTTCTTTCGAACGATTTATTGGGCCATGAAAATAAAAAAAATTCTGATTTTTTATATCTACATAGATACACTCGAGGGGCCTTAAAAGGAACTGATGTAGTAATCTCATAATCAAAGGGATCGAATTTTTTTTCAATAGAAAAAATATTTATGTATTGTAATGAAGCGTAACATCTCAGTGGGCTCATCTCACTTTTTCTGAATAATTAAGTATGTTTGGAGTAAATCTTAAAACATTTTGCGTTGGAAATGATCTCAATTCGAAAAAATAAGTTGACATCGTAATCGAAAATGAATATTTTTCGAGTAACTGCTTAATTAATGAAGCCATATGTTGAAGTTTTGACGTTTTAGCATTTTGACCAATTGATTGAATGGTGTCGCGGAATAAGTGATCATTTATAGTGAGTGAATATGAATTAAAAAGAGAAAGGTTCACTGTGAACAACTGCCAATTAGTTAAATCAATTCATTTATTTTTATTGAAACGATTTTTTTTATTAAGATCAGCTAGTTACATCATTTACTCGGATATCTCGATGAGCACGGCTCCATGTTTTATTTTTATGAGACGTATGAGTTTCGTCTAGTGAATGAAAAAAATATTTATATTTATTTAGGATAGAAATTGATTTTTTTAGTGGTGAAGTGGTAAACTGATTCGAATGAGATAAAATTGTTTAAATAATTGTACGACTGTTTCACGTACGAGGATTTTCGGAAGGAAAATATTACACGAAATTATTTGTTTGATATTCCATTATCTGTAAAGCAGATTTCTTGATTATTCTCTCCTAACATTGATAATTGCTGAAATAATTCGGCAATGAATGTTAGTTTTTACTCGGACTTAAAATATTAGATTAATTCTTTATTTATTCAAACTGTTGATGATGATGGATGGAAAATTCGTGATAAATCAGAGCAATGGGAAATGAAATGACACGATGCAAATGCCTCTTTTGCAAATAATCCGCTAGTAAAATTAAACCTAATCTTGAGTAATTATATCTTTATAACTTTTGCAAAAGGGAAGTCTTAGATTAAGTAGCAATCGATATATTCGATATTATTTTCCATAAATAATGAATACAACAATTTGAAGGCAACTTAATAGTGTATTATTAACCGAGCCAGCACAAACTATCGGTGTACAAAAATATATCCCACGCGTGTAATTGTCTTCTTTTCTTTTTTTAGAACTTTAAGAAAAATAAAGAATGATATTGTAAAGAAAACATTTGACATGTTAACAACCCTCTCATTTCTAGCCTAGATCACTTTCTCACCCGATATTTTCTCCTCCATAATCCGTTACGCTCCTTCACTTTTCCTCAAACATGCGCAATGATATTTAGGGATAGGAATAGTTTTTATTATTTATTTAAAAAATTTTCTAAACATCGTCGTCAAATATCCGTTTGAGCTGTAGTATTCCTAATAAGGCGTTTATTGTTGCATAAAATATATCCGACAAACAGTAACTGTCGTAAAGTAAATAAATTATCCCATGTAAAAACGTTAAGAACGAATAATATAATCCAAGTGAATTAAAAAAATTGCATTCTGTTTCAATACTTTGACCTTTGTATGTAAAAAATATAAAATCACATTGAAAATTGTTTAATTCTCAGTGTTAGTATGATGCAGTTATCATCGAGACTAGGAATTTATTTTTGTGTATGCGTGTGTGCGTGCGTGTGTAGGTGTATTTAATTCTCTGATACAATAGTTCGAGACTAGAGACGATAATAATCACGAACAAACGAGTTAAATGAGTAAACTATGAATGGAGGGTAATTTTCTCCACAACTCACCAAGATTCAACTATTTGTTCTGTATATTCTTAATTAAAAAAATGGTTTACTCATTCAGGATCATCAATTTCACCGACTTGGAGAACGCTAACGATTCCAGCCGTTGCGATGCTCGCTCTATAAGCCTCCGGTTCGAACCAGCGAATCGGTTTCTGGAATAAAAAATATTCAACCGAAAATTCATGGAAAGAATTGAATAAGTTCATTAAAATTTGCCTGACAGTCTTACCTCAAATATTATAACAATCGCCATGCATAAAATAACGATTAATCAATACTTCACAAATTATTCAATAAGTGAGAATGATAAAATTTTATGTTATCTCAAACAATGAAATGTCATATCCTCGGAATAAATTCATTTTTAACATTTCACTACAGGAATAATAATGAAGGGTTAATTCACATAATCTGCATTCGTGCAAATCAATCAAGTTATGAAATTTATTAATGCAAGTAACATATCAAGTGAAATTAGTTTTATTGTATATGATATCACAAAATCAATGTTAATCAACAAACGCATCAATCAGTCAAACATTTGATTTGCCACAATTTTTGTTGATCCTAAGTCAATGCTCTCTTTAGTCACGCTTGTCCCTCTACATTTGTGGGCTCATCTCCAATGAATACTAATATATCGATATATTTGAGCTAATATCTATTTAATTAAATCTTTGATTTATTCATTAATAAGATATTTTATCTCAATTATTCTTATCGTAACTTTGGTTTTTTTTTCTTCTCTTTGAAACTCACATTTACTATTAATTCTCAGCAAAGCCACCCCTTTATTGATGCTAGGTGTAAATACCAATTGTTTATCTTTACGTTCATTTAATAATCCAATTCAACTTACGAGGTTGTCCACTCCTTTTTCATTTGATGAGGGTAATTCATTAAAAATAGGTCATCAATCGATTAAATAATTAATCAAGCGGTGACATAGTGCATATTAGTCCAGCGCAAACATATCTGCAGATTATCATGCAAATATTGTCTAAAACTATTCGGTTAGCGCAGAGTTTCGAAGAATTTTTTTCGCAGATCAATGGATGGTATGAAAAAAATGTCCCTTAATAGTTCCTTTCAAGTCGAGCTATTTTTCTCGAATTTGGTGAATACGGTCAACAAAATTCTTACCACTTTACTGTAGAGTTAACGAGTGAGTATGATAGAAATGAAAATATACCTAATTAAAAATATATTTAATGATAATAAACCAATATTTATGAGAAAATAAAGAGATTCAAAATATGAAATGAAAAAGTCTCGAGATAATCAATATCTGGATATTCATTTTTCTTGTCTTAATAATTTACGAAATAAACTTTTAAACTTTCATAAAATAATAAATCAGTCCACTTTAAACTCCCCGTATTAATATGAAAAATGAAACAAAAAAAAAACTTTTGAATGAATCGAGTGAAAACAAAATGGCAAAAATAACATGGGATATTCGTAATCAATCGATTAATAAAGGATAAAAATAAAAATAATGGTTAACGGGGAATGTGAGAGAATGCCTTAGTATGAGACGCGATGACGATCACAGTGATTTTGGTAAAAGATACGATCATCAACTGAACCATTGGTAAATCCAATCTGGGAATTAAGAAAAGCACAGCTGCCAGTTGAGTGTCGTAACTCTACCTTACGAATGATTGTTGGACATTCCTTTTGAATTCTATCCCAATCAGCTGGTGGTCGTTTGGCGTAGGGGCCGGTTGCACAGAGTAGCAAAAATTCATAGGTCAACTCCCGATTATCTGTGGAAATGGGCAGTAAAATGATTGTTAAAAAAAAAAATCAAATGCACAAGCTGTTAGAAGACCTGCAAAGGATGTTTATTGAATGAAATAATCAATGAAGTTGTTACCACTCGTTTTTTTGGGAGTTGTATTTTCCTTTGGCTTGAATGTCTCTTCACTCTCCGAAGTGTGATTACTCTCCATACTGGTCCTCCTCGCGTTGAGATTCAAATTGACTGCTGAATTGCGATTGGAGCCAACTGAGTTCGAGGAAGGATAACCAGCCTCCTCCTCGAAGTTGAAATACTCGATGCCACTGCTGAGTTGATCAGCTTCGCCGGTCCACCCGGAGAAGTGTTCATCGAGAACCAATTTTGCTGTCTAATGAAACCATTAAAAAAAAAACTAATATAGAATAATATCTAATACCGAAATATTTCCGTAATTTTCGTCAGCTTGTACTTGAAGCGCTTTTGAATTGTATAAATGAAAAATAATTACTCTAACAAGATCGTGGTTTGATCCGATAATCTTGAGTGCCTGATTACCCACGGTAATCGTGTACTTGTATTCACCAATACTGGCGTCGTTTGTTGATAAACTATGGAGCAGTGATGATCGCTGACGAGAAGAGTGCTGATGTTGTTGCTGATGCAGACGATTACTCTCGTCGGAGGCACTGCTGTTCAATGAGGAACTCGAACCTCCAATTCCACTTTTATCTACCCCGACGTGCTCCAGGCGCACTGGGGAAGCGTTTCGTTGTATCGTGTCTTTGATTAAGTCCTTTGCGTAACTACAACACAAACAAGTCTCTCAATCCGTTTATTCTTTTTCAAATTCGTGTTGATTTTCCATTAAAACTACCCATTTCTGGACGAGTTTCCAATAGAATTATTTATTATAAATATTTTGATCCACATAAGAGACCCCTGGAGATTTTTTTCATGACGATATGCTCATGATTTTTTCAAGTATTTGGAAAATATCGTCATACGACTTGATTTTTTTTTCTCCCACCACTCAGTTGTTAAATTAATGGTGTACTCACTGTATCTTGTCCTCGGAAGTTCCCGTTATTTGGACAAGTCGTTCTTTGGCTCCAGGATTCACTGAAATATCCATCTGTCAATGTTGAATCGATTCTCTACTGTTTCAAAATTGACATTATTCATTTATTTTAGCTAGCACAGCTGTTAAAACATTTCAATTTGAATTCATGTACATTTCTTTTGTTAGTATTGTAACAAACTAGTGTCATAAGTGTTGCCGGAAAATTGCCCGCGTTAATACTGATACGATTATTGGAATTTTAGAATTAAGTGGATGAGAGGGATAACACAATAATCTGCAAACAATTCATCAATGTTGTTATGGCCGTGAAGAGATAATTTCTGTAGAGAATTCTAGAGTTGAAAAAAATTCGCTAGAAATGTCTCTTTAATTCCAACGGCTTTCAAAATATTTTCAAAACACCCAGCATGAGATTAATTACTGCTATTTGATTTATTATGCGAAATTCATTGAATAATTTAATAATGCTCAATGAATTTTACTCGATTAGATGACTGAATAATTTTTATGTCGTGTTAAAGTGAGTGAGACGATGCACGATGCACTTGCAAATTCATTATCCTTTTCGGGTTTTGTCCTTTATTTTTTTTTGTGTACTTTTACCTCGCTGGAAGGAGATGATCGTCTCGCTGAGCTCTTCGATCATGTGTACCCGTCTCCCTTTTATCCCCATCACTGTTTTATCGTGCAAATAGAGTTTGAGAATAGACAACACCACTCTTTATTTTTTTATTTCCAATGACGAAGGAAAATATCACAGTAAATCATTTTCAATTTCTTCCACAATATTGTGCGATTTCCAGAGTCATGTGACATGTTTTAAATCAAAAGTATTCATATAGCTTATTTGCTTTCATCGATTTTTACGAATCTTCCATTTATTTTATTGAAACGTGTTACGTGACCCGAACACCGCATTCAATATTGAGTCAGGACAAAAATACTGAGTCATATTATTACGGCTATTCTATTAATTTTATTTGGAGGAATAGAAAAACGGAAAGATAAAAAAAATCTATCTCACCTTTTCCGGAGTCGCAATTGCGAATAACGACTTCATCTTTGCAGTAATTTTTACCAGGAATACGAGTGGGCTTGATGAATTTTCCACTGTTCTTCATGACATCACTAATATTGAGAATAGGTGGTGTTTGCGGGGATGCCAAGCCTATGACACCGCTAGCTGTTGGTGTAGTAGGTGTATCAAGAATGCCAATATCGCTGTCATCCAAGTTCGCCAATTTCTGGATGTAGTAAGCATCCATGGAATCGTTGTGACGCCACTGCTTGGCCCTGAGCTCAATCAGTTCGAGCAAATGAACCCTAGTCGTCAAATCGAGTTTTTCGTCCTGACTTCCATTCCTGATAGCAACAAATGCCCTGTCGAGTTGATCTTTGTAAACAGCCTCGAGTTGTGGTGCGCAGTGTTTCAATGCATTGCACATTGTCACGATATTTGTTTGAAGTGATGGATCATGGAAGCCATTTGTTAAGTGTGACACGACATTGTCAATCAGAGATACCAGGTCCTCTGCTGTTGTTATCCGCCCATCGATTGTTGAGTGTCTTTGCTGAATTTTCAAGGGACGAGGCTTTTCCAGTTTCTTCATCGTTCTAGGCCTCTGGGACAGCTGTGTAGTGGCCATTTTTTCGGTTTTATCTTTTTATCTGTTGAAAATATTGAAATTAAATGTGAAAAATTCCTTCTCAGATGTCAAATAAGCCGTCGACAAATTGTCAATGCTTCTCTCAATGAGAATTGCTTGCAAATTAATTTTCACTCTACAATCATTCCCCCACAAGTATGTGATTACACATACTTTCAATTCCCACAGCCTAGATTCGCCTTTCTAAATTTCCATCGCACAAGTTCGAAACATCAACAAGAGAATATCGATCAAATAGAAAGGAATTTTTTTTATACGAAGAAATATATGCTTTTTGTATTTTCGTTATGAAGGGTTTAAGGGGACAACTGTTGTGACCGTGGAAGAGAAAATAAGCGGGAGGGTAGACAAAGACTATTTTGAAAACAGAGTATAGTATCTATTCACAGCAACTGCAGCAACAAAGGAATTTATTCTTTTATGACTGTGATGTTTAGACAATGCACACAGGAATTCGCCTCAGTCCCTCGACCGAAAATTATTCATATAAAAAAAAATTAATTAAAATTATTAATGCAAATGGGGTATTTACTTGAAAAGAAAGTGGGAGTGAGAGAGAAGGGGATAGATTGAAACATATAAGGAATTGTCGCTGATGGGTGAGCAATATGTTTAGGTTGACTCGATGGATGGTATTTTTGCCTCCAGCCATAAATTATTGTGGGTCAGGTTATGGAAATATATTTGGGGATTGGAGATCGATATTTTTGCCACTTTTTTATTCTCTTTGGCACGTCACAGGCGAAAAAATCCTTACCGATAGGCAGATGGGTCGTCTGGTCTCTTTTCGTGTCGGGATCGTCTCCACATCTACGCCTAACTTGAATGGGTGTTAGTTTAAAAACGAACTAGTTGGTTGAGTTCATTCTCAGGAACTCAACCCATGAAAATACCTAGAATTTTCCCCAGAAAATCGCAGTCTCTGTTCACTTCTCACTCCTGGCAACGATTTTGCAATTGCAAATTCTGACTAATCCCTGCGGAGTATTCAAAATTCCAGAGCTGCCACGGGTGAACATTTCTGATTTTATGGCGAGGTTAAAAAAAATTCATTCATTTTCCTGATGTTGAAAATTATTTTGATTATATTGTACCTCAATTTAATCATCTCATAGACGATTTATTATGTAATTCATCGATCTCTTACAAATATTTAATTATGGGTTAATGAAAGAAACAAATCTTCACATTCAAAACATTTTATTCAGTCAGTAAGAAGCTTTTCTACACATTGTTATCAATTAATTAGTAATAATCGACACTTTGCACACTCATTCTCGCAAACGAAAGATTCCTCCATTATAATTATCCTCCGGTATATAGTTTAAAAATGATATAATTTTGTGGCTTCGGAAATGCAGTTGTGGATTGATAATATTAGATAAGGAAGAATTAGGAATATTTCAAGCCACACTGTGCTAAGTAATCGATTGAAGTAGTTCAACGTCTTATTTCGTTAATCTCGTTACTCTTCGTCTCGCCAAATTTTATCTTTACAATTAATTTTCTCATTATCATTAGGGGTAGATCCGCCTCAAAGATATCGTGGTTACTTTGGCAGCATTAATCCATTATTTTCCACCGTTTTTTTTTCCTTTTAATAAATCATAGTTTCATTCATCAATTTCCTTGATTTCTTTCATTTTTACATTGTGGATCAGTTATAGCTATCGGCAAAGGCGTTTTTTTTTCTTTGATAACAAAAATTATGAACCACTTGAAATATTTTTAATGAATCGTAGTGAAATGGTGCAGACAGTCGAGTTGAATTTTTTTTATTTTAAAAGAACCAATAGGGCGAGAATCTCGGGGATACATAGGCTCAGATAATTGTGAAATTTATTCGGAGAAAATATTTCGGGATTATAAAATAGATCCTGTGGAAATTTTTTTTGCAAACTCATGGAAAAAATACGCGGAAAATACGAGCGAATTCGTTTTAATATACCCGTCTGCAATCACTTCTCAATTGAATCCATTGGCACGGCGTTGTTTAATAATAACAGTCTCAAGCGAAGATACTATCTGAATTATTATTAAAAAAAGAATTAACGATGGTAAAAATATAATTTGTTTTTCTGTTATCATGTTGGTTGAGGTAGTGTTGAATCAATGCAGTTACTATTTCAGTTTGTTTCCTTGTTTAATACCAGTTTCAACTGCGGATATGTTTAGAATGTTATTTCTTCAATTAATTCAATCCTGTTTATTTCGGATATTTTTTACGCCTCTGCGATTAAATATTCGTCCAACTCATTACCACATTTTTAATCAACTTTACTTTACCATTTTTCGCATACTTGTCTCTATTGAAAAAAATACAACTCTATTGGCCACTTCGTGTGGTTTACCCATAACATTTTAGTTTTACTCTTTATTCATTTTTATTTAATTCTTCAATTGCATTAAACCCTGTCGTGGGAGAATAAATAACTTGGACTCGTGCATTGGCATTTTTTTAGTTCATCGAAGTCACAAGAAACTATTTTTCTTATTCTTCTTTTATTTTTATTTTCTTATAAAATTGCGTGAAACTGCCGATTCCGTTAAAAAGAGTCATCAGCACTAAAAACCACCTGACTCATTTCCGATTTTTATTATTATTATTTTTTTATCATTTTTTCCCTCGCTACTCTTTCAATTATTAGTTTTTTTATCACATTGTAATCGTCTTCACAGATTGATAGGGGTAGAATGGCAGGTGGCATTTGAATGGCTCAATTGTCGATGAACACTTTGTAAAAAATATAATTATCTGTGAATAATTGAGCCATTTTCTATCATCTTCGGAAACAAACTAGTTTTATCGTTTTTCTGATTTTTTTTTTTCATCCTGGTCTATTTATAAGCCAGCAGGAATTGCTTGTTTCTGAATGCCACACGTCATACACCCTGAGGAAACTAAAAATTTTGGAACACAAGTTTAATTACACATAGAATATACTTGAAATTTTGATCTTTCACTTTATTTGGTTTAATTTTGAATTTTGATGCGTCCACGTTATCTTTTAAGTGTTTGACTTCATAAGCTTTTAATACGATAAATACATAACGAAATAATTTGAAATGTTAAACACAAATATAATACATCAAAAACTTAAATTAATAAGAAAATTTGAAACTTAAAAGTTGATAATAAACTTAACGGAAACGTTGACCAACGATGTCGAAAATGTAGCCCCAACATTTTTGTGTATTTTTTAGCTTCACCAGAAGAGAAATTTTCAAACATAAGAATACGAGTAATCGTAAAACTATGAACTACGTTATTTTTTCATTTTTTTTTTCTTATTCCTATACCCTAGAACAGCGATAAAATCCTAATACATGCGTTTTTTAACTGTATAATTTTGTTTAACCCCTCGAGTGCTTATCCAAACATTTTTTTCCATGTCTGTAAACTAATAGAATATTTTCTGTGCGCTTTAGTTACTGGAAATAGGAATTTTTCCTGAGAAAACAATTGAAATTATGACTCATTTAAAGATTAGTTGTAAAATGAAAAACAAAGATGATTTTTATCTGTTCAGGTTCTTTGCTAAATTTTCCTTGAAACAAAAATATATATAATAGACCTTTTGGCTATTCTGTGGTTTGTTTTCATTTCTTGATCGCCATCTATGATTCTGTATACCTCTAAATTTATTCCTTTAATTTCTATAATTTAGTAATTTCAAGATTATTTACCAGAAGTCTCGTGTACGAGTTTTACCAAAGTTTTGTTTATAATTTTATCCTCTTTACCTTAAAACGATTAACGACGAGAATCCTTGTGAAAAAAAAAATTAAAAGTGTCGTTTCTTCTTGAAACCTGAAAAAGATGCAAAGAAAGATTGATAATTAATAAAACCAATTAATACCTGTAAAGACAGTTAAAGATTAATCCACGTAAAATAGACAATAAATATAAGGATAATAAAACCCACTCTTCTTTCCTTTTCCCTTGGCGGCTTTTCGTTTCTTCATCGGAATAGATGATGATCCTCCGAAGGTCGTTATCTCATCGCCAAGCTGCCCAAGCGTTGAAATCTGACGATTACGATGTTTCTCCTGTTTCGTCACGGGCAAGCGTGTCATATAGTTTTCCTCAAACTCAATCTTCCGTTTGTTTTCACGTCCTAAGCTAATCTGCTTTTCACCACCCTGGGTATCTTCAATTGGTGCATCGAGATACTCTTCTTTCAGCTCACGGAGTACAGCCCCTGACACAGCACGTCTTCGTGCGCGTTCACTAGCTTTACGTGATTTTTCCATCATGGTTTCATCTCCATCTGAGAACATTAACAATTTTCAAATAAAAAAAAAAATCAAATCCGTATGAATGAAGCTTAAAAAAAAATACAATTTATAAAATTGATGTTAATTGTGGGAATATTGATTGCTCACCATAATGAACAGCAGCAAGTTTAGGTGGTACATAAATTCCAGTCTTCCTGACTTTATTACCCTTCCCCCCTTCATCCTCTTCATCACTTTCATCCTCTTGATCACTTCCATCAATCTTCGCCATGAGTGACTCCGGATTAGCCCTGAAATAGCTAGGATCCGAACTGCTGGTGGTTCCAGTGACAGCAGTCTTCACCAACTTATCGATTTGATATTTAAGCTTATGATCGATCGGCCTAATTTTCTCCAATACTGTTCTAATCTCAACCAAACGATCGATAGATGGATCACCCTCTATTTTTTCCCCCGAGCATTTTCTCAACACAACGTATGTAAGATTAATCAAATAAGAAAGTAACATGTGATATTTTATTTCCAGAAAACTTAAACCCTTGTCTGTTGATACTTCTCCATTTCTAACGCGTACTAACATATTATCAACAAGTTGATTAACACGGAGTACGTTTGCATTCATCTCACCAAGGAGACGAAGGGCCTGAGGAAGGTCCCTCTGTTGCTCCGTTTCATCGATTGCCTGAAAAACAAAGGAATTATAATTCAACACAATCATATATAGACCTCATTGACACTCTCATTCTATCAACAGAGAATTTTTCTATTATACAAAAAAGATCTGTGTTCCAATAATTCCAAATTCATAAATATCCGAAATTCCTCCAGGCATCCAAATAAAATGAAATAAAACAATGATAGTGCAGAAAATAACAACCGGCAAATTAAATCTCCAAATATTCTCATTTATTAAAAGCTCCAAAACTTTACCTTCATCATTAAAAATCACACTAGTAACATAAATCACCGAAACAGTAAGCAGTATGGACTCCTTTCACACCCTCAAAAAAAAACCCATAAAAAAAAAGTTTATGCACCCTAAAACTTTATATTTTCCATGATTTCACCGTCAAAACTCCTCAAAAGCTAAGAAAACCAAAACAAATCGATTTAAAACAGCGAAAATCCACTCTATCATCTAAATTTAACCTACAAAATGCATGAAAATAACAGAGCAATTTATTATCGAAATGAAGTAAATTTCAACTCTCGTGAAAAAAATGTCTGCCGATTCTTTCCCAGGGAGGAAAAAGCGCAATAATCCGCTGCCATCTTTCCTATTTACTAATGGATGCCAGGCGGTCCTGCACCCTCCCCCGAAAAAAAGCGTACAGGAAGAAAGAGGAAAAAAAAAACAATGAAAAATGTCCAATATCAGACTATAAGAAAAAAATCACATTTCGCTGTCTAATTTCATTATTTGTCTATTTATTCTATTGTCGGGGGATAAAACTCACCTGTACCATTGTAATAATATGAAAATTAACTCAACGAACACATATTTAAATAACGTAAACTCGTAATTAAACGTTGCCCCCACGTGGGACGATATTTTCCTTCAGAAGGGATGACGGGATTTTTTGTCTCTCTTGGAAAAGCTTAATCAAATCAATGACTCCGAGTCCAATGAAGATGAGTCAATTTTACGCATAAAATTCATCTTAATAGGCATATATATTGCCGAATAATCGTAAACCTTCATTGCGATAAAAATATATGAATATTCTCTCCCTTAGGAGCTTGACTGACATTGTAGACGGGTAATACTTCCTGTGGGGTTTGAAAAACGGCGGGAGGGAAGGTTGAAGTACTTTTTCGACGCTCCACGCCCTTTTTGCAAAAATTCACGCTTTTCCTCATTTTTCTGAAAACTTTACGATTGAATTGACGTGAGAGAATATAACGTTTTTACGTTTTATTATTATTTCATAATCACCAAGTTTCAACGTAGTGCAAACATTTCTCTGTATTTTTTCTAAACATTTCACAACCGCATAAAACATTATAAAAAAAAACCTAAAATCATGGAAAATCAGAAAATTTGCTTTTATGTCGATGACGTCCTTCAAGGACAAGGTAAGTATAATTTTCCGCGGATATTTTTTCTTTTCACCCCCCGTTGTGTATTAATCCCCCGACCATCAGATATTGAATCCCCCCAATAAAAACATAATCCTCCAATACCCCTGGACATTGGAAAATCGAAGTACCATTTAATTTTTAAAAAATGATGACCGATAAACAAGTCTTATAGTGACGTTCCATTTTGGACCAATCGCCTCGATGTAAACATAGTGTTGCTGTCTTCTGATTGGTTGTACTGTCACCAAGTCAACGACACGCATCCAATGGGATTTTTGTCTTGCTGTAGACTCAAGTAGCACCAAATAACTCCCTGATGTCATAGACCTTCCTCAGGGTACCCCCCACAATCCCCTCATCTAAGGGCGAGTGCGCTAGTGCGCGAGTGCGCGAGTGCGCGAGTGCGCCACTGTCCAGCTAGGATACAGGCGGGTACAGGCAGATAGCTGGTTCAGTAGAAACCAGTACAACCACGGCCATTTGCCTTGCAAGTGGTAAATTCGTGGATTGAACAGGTACATCGGGGGGGGATTATCATCAACTCAAAAAAAAAATCATCAAAAAATAGTACAATTATTTTTTTCCAAACCTCCTCAGTTTTCTTGACAATTGTGCGGGCCCCAAACCCGTTAATAAATACAAAATAACGCGACGCAAAAGGATGATACACTCGGGGCGTACGAGGCTCGAGGTAGGAAATAAACAATTAATTATAACAACATTAATAAATCACTCGTGAATATGTGGACGTGCGGAAAATTGGGAAAAAATTGGTGTTCATAAACGCAGAACATAATGCACTTTCTATTCTGTTTGGCCCAATGTTGTCATACTTCGAACAGCTGATTCCCTCCTGCAGTGACTGCCATCCGTGACGCGATATCTCTCAATCTCCCTAACCATTCGCTTTTTATCATTTTCCATTATTTTTTATTCACTGATACAACGAATCGCTTCATCTACATCTATTTATAGATTTTTATTTTTTTTGTCTCATCTCTACCTCATCACTGGCATTCACTCTTGGTAACAACTCGCGATGTCATTTTTTTCATTCTTTTTTTCGCAGAGATCTTTTATTCGCGACCTGGGCCACTTCCATTTTGCCCACCATCGACCGATCAAGTCGGTCCATCCTTTGTTCTCGTGTCCTCCACTGCTTCAATTTCATTTTCTCTATCCTTTTTGTCATCTGTAAATAGTCTGTTTCATCAAATTTTCCTCACTCCTCTTGGTTTTTTTTTTGTTGGTATGGGGTTATAAGGGTTGAATAAATTGGTGGGCTATTTTTAGGCGCTTTGAGTGATGGGGGAGTTACTGTATGATTGGCGAGGTTTCTCAGAATTCGGGGTTTTTTTGTGGGTTTAGTCATGAGAGAAAGAGAGAAAGAAAGAGAGAGAGAGAGCGTTCATTCACCCTCTGTGACCGCTCGATACCTCATCCCATGGACATCGCTATTTTTTCATAAAGAGATTTGACCATTCAAGAAGAATTTTTTTTTTCCTCATAATAATTATCATACGACAATTTCCTTGGTGAAATTATTATTATTATTATTATTAGTGGGTCAATGAATAATATTTGCATTTATTTATATTTCATTGAAGGCCAATTGTTTACGTCTTGGATTCCTATCCAATTGTTTTACCAATAACAATTACATTTTCGAAATGTCGGGTGCTCTTTTGTCACTAAGAATTTTCAATAAAACAAATTCCCTTGTATTTACGTGCTCTTAAAAATATATTTTGATATGCTTAACTTATCACACTTTTATCATCTCGATGCATATCTCATTTTCATAAAAGATGATTGATTGAATTATGCAATTTCGAATTATTATACGTATAAAGAAGTTCTGATACAGTAGCAAATTTTATCAAATCGTTATCTTCTTTCAAACGGATGTCAAATTAAAAACATACCATTTGATTAGTCAACTGGAATCTTATCTTTGAGTAGGTTCAGCAGTAGAACATGCTACTCGTTTTTTTAGGGCCCATTATTAGAGTACGTAATGTACTCCAGTAATTTCGATCATTTTCCTTGGATTTCGAATGAAAAAATTAATTAGTAAATTGCCAATGGAAATATCTCGTTTTAGAGAAGCTATACTGAATTATTCCCCGTGACTCAATATTCCTTTCGGATTGAGTAATGCATCGATTTTAAGTGAAACACCTTTTCTGAGCTGGGGAATTTTTGCTGAGGTTTCATGTGTGAATAAATGATAACAATTCAGCGATGATGTTTTTGTTTGATATCAGACTGCGTCGCACTCGGTTTGATAACGAAAGTGAATAAACACGTGGTTGTTCTGCGACGCGGTATTCTGTTGACAGTTGGGATTTATATGAATAGAGTATCATCACATTTTCGTCCGTCTGTTAATTCTTTAGAAAAAAGTAAGTCGAGTGGGAGTGGGTGGAGGGGTCGAAGTGGGTCAAGGGATGGAGGAATCAACGACTGGTGGTCAATGGTGGAGGCAACAGTATCCTCCCTATCATCACTATCATCATCATCATCATCATCACCATCAAGGCAGTTACTATCCGTCCCCATCTCTAGCACACATTCCTGTCAGTAGCATGAAGCAATCCTATATGCAGGTAATTTCACTCATTTTAACATTCTTAAGTCATCCTAATTCATCGACTCCCGTAACTCGCCAAATTCTCATCAATTTTCATCATTTTTTTTAATTAACCATAGGTTTTATTGAGCTGAGGGATTACCATTTGCTTTCAAAAATATTTGTAATTACAGCTGACATGGGTATTTCATGACGATGAGGCGCAAATCAACAAAAAACTGCCAAAGGAACTGTTACTCAGGTAGATTATTATCCTTTTGGTTTCTCGCAGCCCCGTGGATTTATAATTTATGTACTTTATTGTGTTGGTATTGAATGGAGATTTTTTACTATTTTTAAGAAATTTGGATTTGATGATTTTTTTTGTTTGATTTTTAATTTTCATGATCATTGCTGTAGGATTCTGTCATATTTGGACGTTGTATCATTATGCCGTTGTGCCCAAGTGAGCAAAGCATGGAATGTGTTGGCTCTAGACGGATCCAATTGGCAGAGGATCGATCTGTTCGATTTCCAGAGGGACGTAGAGGTAAATAGAAATCTCAAAAGTTGCCATTAAAAAAAAATTTTACACACTGTCAACAGTGCATTTTAAACCGTATCGTGAAATGAAAAGAATTTGAAAGTAAAATTTGAAAATAATTTGAAAATAAAATTATATACTCCGCGTATGGTTTCTAAACTCGTCAAAATAACAATGGAATCTCATATTTGTTTTTCTTCTCGCTTAGGGACCAGTGATAGAAAATATATCAAGACGATGCGGTGGATTCCTTCGTCAATTGTCCCTCCGTGGTTGTCAGAGTATCGGTAATAATTCAATGCGCACCCTCGCCCAATCATGTCCAAATATCGAAGAACTGAATCTTAGCCAGTGCAAGAAAATTTCCGATGTAACGTGCGCATCGCTAAGCAGTCACTGTCCAAAACTTCAACGTTTGAATTTAGATTCTTGTCCAGAAGTTACGGATTTAGCACTCAAGGATCTTTCGGACGGTTGTCCACTACTGACACACATCAATTTATCGTGGTGTGAGTTATTGACTGACAATGGAGTTGAGGCATTGGCACGCGGTTGTCCAGAGCTCAGGAGTTTTCTCAGTAAAGGATGTAGACAACTCACAGATAGGGCTATCAAGTGTCTGGCACGGTACTGCCCAAACTTGGAGGCCATTAATCTCCATGAGTGCAGGGTATTTATTCAATGTTTTTAGTTTACCGTGAAAAACCTACAATTAGGTAATGTAATGGAATGTGCTATGAGTTGGATGGAATTTTAATATTTGAGGGACATACACGTCGAGGTCATTTCGTATTCATCGAGGTTATTACGTATTTATTTTTCTTTAATTTCCTCGGCAGAATATCACGGATGATGCAGTGCGTGAACTGAGTGAGAGGTGTCCTCGACTTCACTACATTTGTATATCGAACTGTCCAAATTTGACTGATGCATCGTTGGTGACAATCGCTCAACACTGTCCTCTCCTCAGTGTTCTAGAATGTGTTGCATGCACGCATTTTACTGACGCTGGATTTCAAGCGCTAGCAAGAGTAAGCACTTGAATAAAAAAAACAAATCAAAACTCTTCTCATCATGAATTTAATAAATTTTACATTTTTATTGTTTTATTGATTTTTGTAGAATTGTAGATTACTGGAAAAAATGGATTTGGAGGAGTGTGCTCTTATCACTGACGCAACGCTCATCCATTTAGCAATGGGCTGTCCACGCCTCGAAAAATTGGTACACAAACTGTTCAACAATAATTTTCAGCTCATAAGTATCTACTCTGTATTCAATATTAAATATTTTGGAAGCTATATAAAATGGCGTAATTACCTGAATAATATCGGGAGTTTCAGGAACATATCATTCTACTTTTTTATTGTTAAACTTTCTCTTCTTCATTTTTGTAGAGTTTATCGCACTGTGAACTCATAACTGATGAAGGGATTCGACAGCTGGCTCTGTCCCCCTGTGCTGCTGAAAATCTCGCCGTGCTAGAACTTGACAACTGCCCATTAATAACTGATGCCAGTCTGGATCATCTTCTCCAGGCTTGTCATAATCTTGAACGCATCGAACTCTACGATTGCCAACTGATCACAAGATCTGGCATACGTAGACTCAGAGTAATCCTCTTTTTGGCTTTATTTCTCTCCCGCAAGATCTAAGTACAAAAAATTTCCCGCACATAATTTCGTATTTGTGTATAACGAGATTGGATAAAACTTTTGATTTATTTAAAATTCATTATTTAACTAGCACAAAGAGATATTGCGAGGGAACTATTTTAAAGAATTTATAAACCTGCAGAAAATATCTTTTGATTCATTTAATCGATTCCGTGACGTTTTTTTGATAGACTCACCTGCCCAACATAAAAGTCCACGCCTACTTTGCACCAATGACACCACCACCAAGTGCCGGTGCATCACGACAACGGTACTGTCGTTGCTGCGTAATCCTGTGATTCCACATCAACAGAACAATCTTTATTTTTTCCTCGTTTCAAGCGAAACTCGGAGCATTTTATTGTCTTTCCCATCCGCAATCGAAGGAACATCATTTCTGTGAATAGTCGAACGGAGCAATTTATACTTGAGTCAAGAAACTCTGATAAAATTGGTAGTTTTATCGTTCGGAGACTAAAAGTGCCTAATGGCAGTAGATCAATTATTTTTATTGGAATTTTAATTTTTTCTTAATCAAAGATGAATCATACTTTTCTCATCACTCGACTGTACATTTTAGAATTAATCTTCAGTTCTTTACTTTTTAATAGTCGAAATTTTCTTCTTTAAATCATAAAAAAATTCACAATGGTTCTTTCGGCGATAGATATGAACCAGGAGAGTACAGACTGAAAAAAAATTTTAACGAAACAAAAAAAGTATTCTAATGCCTAACTAAAATCTCTGAAAATGTGGAAATTAATTTTTCGTAGTGGAGTGTTGAAAATGTTAATCGTGCAATCAACTTGGTCACTAATGATTTGCGAAAAAAAAATCGCAAGACCTCTTTTTGGATATCCAACCGACAAATTTATTAGAACAATTGCCTCCAAGGGTCACTCATTATTGAAATAATAACCTTTACCACTTCGCTGCTGATATGCTTCTTTTTCGGCCATCAACGGATCGTTTCAATTTTTGTTATTCAGTATAAAAAATACAATTAATGAATGAATTCAAAACAAATCCGGATACTCGAAAATATCCGAATTTTGTGAGTAATAAAATTAGGCTGAGCCCTTTACCGAAAGAACTTTTGGCGAATGTCTCAATCTGTAAATTTGAGGATGAATTGAATCATAAATTTTTGCAATTGTATGCGCGAACGATTCCTAATGTTTAATAGCATAAGAGACGTATCACGTTCTATCTAATTAATTGATAAAATCATGAAAAAAAGAAGGGGGGCACATAGATATAAAAAAATATATGAATATATATATAGATATGTTTTATACGCTAAATGTTGTCACTAGATACGAAACGTACGTTAATCGCTGTCTATTATTACCCGCAACATCGAATGCGTACGTTAAGATTTGATTCCAATGATCCAGAGGTTAACTATCATTGTTATACATGAATTCACTGATGATCCTAATGTTTTTGGTTCGTTCTGACGTGCAACGTATGCGGCTTGAAAGAAAAATGTTTGCCCAACGTATTCTTGTTGCGAGTTTTATTATTTACCAACTCTCAAATTAAATTCGTAATTCTTAACAAAACATTGAATTCGTCGTGGTAACCAAATACAACATTTTTCCTCAGCCTTTTTTTTTCCAATCATATACAATGCTCGTTACAGTCTTTTATACATTAGATCATTACCTAATAATCATATGTTGCCATATTCGGAGGTTGAAATTGTAAGGAGATTCGTTGAAAATTATAGCTAGCCTCTGAACTGTATGTTAAAAAATCGTTGATTCGCTAAAAACATATTATTTTGCAAATTTTCATCAAATTGTTGATGACTCATGACATTTGAACAAAAATCGTTAATTTGGGCAATGATATCACGGCTGATTTGTTAATGATCTTTTCTGTCCGTGTAATTGACGTATTATCCATTGATTTGAACGTTGAAAGAATGCGTTGACGGAATGCGTGACTGCAAGTCGTGGAAGAAAAACATTTTAAAAAGTGAGAATGTGATTGAGCAAATGTTTGGCTGTGCTGTAGACTAGAATTGATTAATATTCGTTGCAAAAGATCTGAGAGTAATTTGTCAAGTTCATAGTTAAGAGGTAGAATTAAATCCCAGATTAGGTTTATCCATTGGTATTAAGTTGTCAAGATGTTTTTTGGTCTTTTATATGATAATCCGAATACATGTAAACTCGCACGATTCAAAGGCACTGAATCGTACTCGTTATATTTCGCTGCTTCGATGAGTCGCAGTCTACCATGTATATATTTTCATCGAATATATGTACAATAAATTATATGTATATATATAATTATATGTATGAGCATTCGGCGTGAATTTATCATCATACGGCCCATTTTTCAAATTATTTTTTCAGATTTTTTAAGCATTCTATATTCTTTTTATTTTTTGACAAATTTTGAATTGGATTAAACCCCCAAAAAAATCGGAAATACTCCAAACTTGGAATTATTCAATGCAGAATTCGAATTGAATAACACTATTCACTTACCTCCATTTTAGGAATTGAAAGATTCATCCAAATAAATACCTCAATCTTTTTCCTCTTTGTAAAATATTCTTTATTCATTTCCATTTCTAAAACAAACCGGTGCTTTAAATATTTTCACCTATTTCGTCTAAATGAAAATTGGGTACAAGAGTCACATACTCGACCCTTTGACCTCCCTCCATTTTCCATTAACAATCTTCCAAAATTATCTGAAGAAATAACTAAAGCGTACTACTATTAACATTACCGACTATTAAATTGCACTTGCAGTGGAATTTACAGTTTGTATTTAAAATCTGTGTACTCTGAAAGTATCACAGTCTCTTCAGTCTTGAAAATGTATAATTCTGGTAACTTGGGAATTCTTACTACCTATTGAAATGAGTAGACTCATGGGAAACGTCGAAATCTTTTCGGCAATTAAAAGAACACTTCCTAGTGATTTTCAGAAAGAATTGATAGAATCCAATGGAGTTTGATAAAAAAATTATATCAATATCTCCTCATACACCGTATGAACGATTCAAAAACTCAATTCGTTAATCTATATCAAGTACTCAAAGTCTTTAAAGCATCATGAGTAAAGTAATTAAATGGCTACTCTAATATATAATGAAACATTTTGAACAAATAGGCCTACGAATTTTTGTTCTTCCCACGAAAGGCAACCTAATCAATACAAAATCTTTGTAACTTATTCAATTATCAAGAGGATGAATCATTCGTCCTGTGACGTCCTCACTCTCTCTTATTCTCTTTTCCTAATAGTACTCAGTCTCCAATAATTTCTTTCTCTCCCTCTCCATCTTTAATACTCACTGACAACAGGACCATTATCCAGCACATAAAACATAATATCTCCCCCATCCTCCCCGAAGATGTACCCATTTCCGAGGACTGACTCTGCCAAGTGAGAATTAGCATCGCTGATACTCAACTGAGGAACCTCATCCGTCCCCTCAACTTCTGAGACATGCAGCAGGATCTCCTGTACACCAGCTGACATCTGTTCTTTGTTTCTACCCTCTTCACCCACTCCAACAATTGTCGGAGCAAAGTTTATTTCCTTTCCAGAACCCTCCACTTTTTCCAATTTCTCTTCTAATCCATTAACAAAACCTGGTCTATCCCATTCATCACTGAGAGCCTTATGCTGTCTTTCAAAGTGTCTTCTCATGCTGTGCCTGTGTCTCGCAGTCATCTTGCAGTATGGACACCGATAAACAATTCCACTGTGACTAGTCTGTGTATGTCTCTTCAGCTGATACTGGCCATGAAAACTTTTTTGACACAATCCGCAACAATACTCAGCAGGTTTCAAATGGGTCTCCACATGTTTACTGTAACTATTTTCACTGGTAAATTGAGTTGGACAGTGAGGACACTTGTACATAGTCTTTTCTCCATGGATCTGTTTGAAGTGTTTGAGATAGTTGCACCTCTGGAAGAAACTCTTGTCACATTTTTCACACTGAAATTTTTTGTTGCCATGTAACAAAACGTGGACATCCAATGCCTTCTTCGATTTCAATTTTTTTCCACAGACATTGCAAGGGATTTGGGCATTCTCATGAATCTGACGGTGTTGCTTCAGAACACTTATTCTATGAAATCTTCTCTGACAAATATCGCACTCGAAGGTTCGTTCGCCGTGAGACCGCAGGTGTTGATTCAGGATGTAAGAGGTTTTGAAAGAAATACCGCATTTTTCACAAATCAGTGGTTTTTGATCTGCGCTTTTCTTCTTAATAGTTTTGTTAGTTTTGACTAATGGTTTAGGATTATTATGCAATTTTGCGTGACGAATGAGATGGGCGCGATGTACAAATCGTTTTCCACACTGTGGACAAACGTGACGAGGAGCTGGACATTTATGAGAGTCTAATTCTAATTGCGATGGAAATGTCTTTCGACACCATTTGCAATTATTCTTATTAAAATGCTTAGTCATATGACGTTTTAGATATTTTTTAACTGTAAATTGTTTTTGACAATAGGGACATTCAAAATTTTCAGTTCTCTTCGAATATGAACAAACGTGAGACATCAAATTCTCTTTTCTTGCAAAAACAGCTAAACATGCTGGACAAATAAATTCTCCCGTGTGTTTCCTCAAGTGACGATAAAGATACTCTGGCTTATCAAATTTCTTTCCACAAATATCACAATCCAAATTGTCAATTCGTTGTGATATATTCTCACTATCATTCGCCATTTCTAATAACTCCGATGTGATTTCTTCAACGTGAAATTTCACTGGATCGGAAGGTGAAATGTTATCGGATAGAATTGAATCTGTCATTGAACTGAGATTAATGTTCAAGCATTGATTCTCTAGGATAGATTTTAATGATGAATTGTCGATGAAATTACTATTCTGGAAAAGCTCGTTAACATTAATGGAGTTTGTGTCCAAGAGATGAAGATCTGAAGAGGGATCTTTATCAATTTCTCTGATGCTGCTATCACTGGTATTTTTTCCAATCTTCAGCTTTTCCAGAATCTCCTTTATGGCTTCTGGATTTTGTCCCTCAGTCTCACTCATGTTCAGCAGAATCATCTGAGCATTTTGTTGGCGATGATTCTCAGAGGTTGGGATACCAATAGCTTCAGTAACGAATTCTGAATGTTTCTCAACTTTATGTTTCTGAAGAACTGAATTATTGTAAAATTTCCGATTGCAGATATTGCAGAAGGCTCCCAAAAGTAATTTATAGTGTTCCATTAAGTGTTTTGCGTAAGAAGGCACCGAATTCATTATCGCTGTGCAAATTTTACATTTCCAGACAGCTTTATTATCCTTCGCGCCTAATTGTTGAGCAGGAAGACGTTCTGCAAGCTTTTGAGCCATATCTTTATTAAGTATCTCAATTTGATTGGTTTTAGAATCAATTGACGACACCTGAGGGTTTTGCGATGGAATTGATGGTCCCAGAGAGGCAAAATCAACGTTGTACAAGGGCATTTTCATTTTTAAAGCATAAAATGGTGCATACCACACTCGAAGCTCTTCTCCGGAGATTATCGTACGCATTGCCGTGTAGAATATATTGGATTTTACCTGGTAACAAATGAGATTCTGCTCTTTGGCGCAAGATGCTGGGGCAATGAAGCACATCCAATTGCTGTTGTCTTCATTGGAATAGTCCAGATGATATGTCTCGGCTGGAGAGGTGCCAAAAATGCGAATGGGAAAGTTGGTGACGGGATTCATTGTCCAGTTACGTTTCGCTTCGAACGGTCCGAAAGTTGTGCCTCGAAGGAACTCACGTTTTGTAAGGATGCTTATCGTGCCATCTGCCATTTTAGTTATCTCAAGACCTGGAGGTAATGTTTGTCGGGCTTTTGACAGCATTGGAGTATCTGGAACCTGAAAATCATATGAAGAAGAAATGTTACATTTTGAATTTGTATTCATAATTAATTCATACTCCGTATTTATACGGTTGTAGCAGTACAGAACAGGATTAAATAAAATAATTACATAAATTACACTATGAAATAAAAAATTGAAATATTTTACTTACATACTGGAGATCCAGTAAGAAAGGACATTCATGAGTGCCATGAGATCGCCCACAAATATTGCAATCTGAAAAATAATAATTGACCTACATTTTAGAATTAATCCCCAAATCGTCCTTGACCTTGAACAATGAATTTCCGTCAAAATCATTCTTTCGCGGAATATTTTCATCGCCTGGAGTAAACATAAACATTATATTCTCAGAAACAGCTGTTCCCCCACCTGATAAGCTCTCAGTGTTATTGGCCATCACATCTTCACTTTCACTCTGCATCATTGCTGTCTTGACATGATAACCCTCATGATATTTTAATGACAATTGTCCTGTCAGAGCGTGGCATTCTTGTTTTTTTTATCTAGAATCGTCAACTCTGTTCTTCACTTGAAAGAAGACACTCTCCGATGATTAATGTTTAGACATCTGTTGAGGTTAAGGATGCGCCAGGTTAACTCACAAGATCAGAGATTTATACGAGAAATCTCCAGGGCTTATGCAAAAGCTTCCACAAGGAAGGTGGCGTGTCAACAAGAGAGGGAGGGCGCCACACGCAATGCTGGGGTGTTCATCAAGTCGACGGGGTGAATTTTATTTTCTGCGGTATCAATGCTTTTTGTTTTTTATTTGTTTAACTCAAATTCAGCCGACTGTAGAACGAGCAGAAGGGGAAAGCCACATTTTGTGCAATTTCAATGGAAAAAATTATTCAATGTATTGAAGATATACCACTAATGAAATTATAATTTTATTAAGAGTGCGTTGTCCTAGCGGTAACATGCTCGACTGGCACGCCGGGGGCCCGGGTTCAAGCCCGGCATTATTTATTTTTTTTTTTTCAAAATAATTCCAATTTTTTTTTTTTGTTAATGGCAAATCAATCGAAATATTGTTTAAAAACTGAATATTTGATAATCGAGGAGATATGCAGTGAAATTGAACAATTTGATATTTTTAAAAACGAAACTTTTTCAATATATATACTCCTAATGAAATTATTTTATTGTTATAGCGCGTTGTCCTAGTGGTAACGTGCTTGCCTTCCACGCCGACGGCCCGGGTTCGATCCCGCCGTCGTTCATTTTTTTTTTTCAAAATATAATACTTAAAACTCAAGAAGATATCCAGTGAAATGGAAAAATTCGAAATTTTTGAAAAAGTATCAGGGGAACATGAGCATCGAGGAGTTATTCACTAAAATTTTCACTGAAAGTGATAAATTCGAAATTTTAGAAAAAGTATCAGGATAACATGA